TATATATATATATATATATATACACACACACACACACACATACTTATAAAAGAATTGGTTGGGGCGTGAGTCCCCAACCCACTCTATGGGCTCAACCCCCGCTTGGTCTAGGGGCGATCGAGTGTGCAAATAATTTGAGTAACACCCTCGGCTTAAGGCGACACTGCGCCACCAGAGGATTCGAACCAGGGATTTGAGGAGGCTTATGACGTTTTAAAGAGGTTGTTCTAATCGATTCTCGTATTTTCAAAAATTAAAATATCACTTTCCAAATTTATATATATATATATATATATATATATACATACATATATTACATATACAGACATACATACATACATATGTACAGATATATAAATATTTCAAATCACCTTATATTTTTCTCAAATATCTAAGCTTTTATATTTAAATCAATTTTTATAACACTTATATTTTTTTTTTATTTCTTGCACATTATTATTTTATCGCCAATTTTTTTATTTATAGAAAATTTTTCTTTTTATTATCCAAATAAATCTTGTCACTTGTTTAATATTGTTTGTTATTTCTTCTACCTAAAATTTGCTTCTTCATGAACCTAACAAATCTTAAAGTTTAGTCATAAAAATAATTTTATTTATGTTATTTGAGTGTCGCATTATAATTTGATGACAATAATGTCCAGCACTTTTTATCTTACAACTCTTCAAATTGAAATTTAGTACTAATAATCGATGTTGTACTTAATTTCTCACTTGAAATGATCTTACTATGTTTACATTTTCGACAATCTCTTCTTCTCATAAGAAAATAATTAATTTGTATTTTATTATATTCATTCTTATAAGTAATAATATGCTCCTCTTTTTTAAATAAAGTATTAGCAATAACAAAATAATATGCTAAATCAAAATCTAATATGACTATACCTTCTTCGTTAATCACTCCAAATCGGTCACAATGAATATTTTAAAATATTCTTCCACTTTACCAACATGTCCATTTAAATCTCTTCTAATAAAAGTTCTTTCTTCAAGAAGTATCATTTGTATTAATTATTGTAAGTCATTCGAGAATTTTTCTTTAGAACTTATATTCAAATCAACAACAATCTTAGAAGTTATAATTCGATCTCAAAATATTTTTAATTTTTTACAACATTATCTTTCAAACTTCTATCAATATTTATACCTACATTATTTCTAATGTGACTCCAAACTGAATACCAAAATTTAAAACTTAGCAATCAATCTATTTTATTTTTTTCTCCCACTAATTTTATTTCTTAAATACATAAGATATTTATTTTCCTATGAACTATAACATCAACTAATTCCATAAATTTACATATAAGAATACATATATTCCAAGTTCCTATCATAATATTAATTTCATGGACTACTCCACCCGTATCTATCCATAATATTTAATTTAATACTAAAAATTTTAAAAAATAATAATATTAATGAAAAGTATTTCGAATAAATATTTTATGAAAATGTATTAAAATCTTATGCAAAAATCAACTAGAATATATGACATAAGCATAAAAATCAACTCTATATAATTACTAGTAAAATTAATATATATTATATAATTTCAAAATTAGATAGATACCCCTCAAAACTAACACACACACTCTCTCTCTCTCATCCAATTTTTAAATTCTATCTAAATTATCAAAATTTATAAAACAAACCCCCACCCTTTTATTTCCATTTTCATCAAATTCACAATAATTTTATTGTTGCATCTGTAAAATCATCAATTCATGAGTTAAAAAAAAAAAATAGCCTGAAGCCTAATCTTATAAATAGCAAAGTTTCAAGTGCCATGCATTTAATCTCCCATATTTAAATTTCAACCATTTATTACCAACACACACTCAAAACATTCACCCCACAAACACAGTCTAAACCTCTACATTCCTAATAGATATTATTCATTCTTGAAGCATTAAATGCAGAAATTAACCCAAAAAGTAACTCAACTGATTAACTTTAGTCCCAACAAACTGCTTCTCTAAACCTCTAAAATCACACAAAAAGTTCTCCCACAGACCAAATAAACAATTTATTCTTTTTCGCCATCATCTTCAGCCTCACAAACTCCAAATCTGGTAAATTGCTTAATAACCGCCCTGTATAAAGGCATTCAGGCGATTGAGCTCCTCCCTGTGCTCCCTCACAACAGCTCGAACCACATCGCCGATGGAAACCATGCCGACCATCTTCTTGTCGTCGATCACCGGGATGTGCCGAATTCGATTATCTGACAAAAAACAACAGATCTGATGAGCTGTTTCTGAATGAATCAGAAGTGATTTATTCAAGTATGGAGTTGGGATAGCAAAAACCTGTCATGAGCTGCATGGCCTTCAGGACTTTGGTGTCTGGTGTAACTGTGATCAGCTTATTCTGTGGAAACAAAAACAAGCTACAGATGAGAAGCAGCCTAAGCTTACGGTAAAGGTAGATTTACATACATACCACCCAATTCTTATGTATTTACATATAACACCTTAGCTTCCATTTTCACACACATACCACCTTACCTATGCATGAAAAGGAGTATTTCACCTTCTAGAAGTTGAAATGAAGGTATTTTTATGTGATATGTAAGATTTGAGCGGTATAAAAGCAAAAAGTAAAATTTAGGTGTTAGATATGTAAAGTTTAATCATGGTCAGCATTTAAAGGTGTAATTGAGTAGTCAACTCATGAGATGGCTTTGACTTGACTTGATAAATGGCACATGAGCTGAGATGGATGAGCAAACAAACCAAAGCTTGAGCTAGCCCAACTCAACTCGTCATGACATGGCTCGCTTTGAAAGATGTTAATAAAAAAATGTACTAAATATACTAAGATTTAAGAGTTTAAATATAAAATGGGGGATTTACATACATATCATAGAATTTTTTGAATTTACATATGTAACCCCTAAACTTTGATATTTACACACATAACACTATGAATGTTAAAAATCACATTAAAAAATACTATAATTATTAACTTTTTAAGGTGAAATACAAATTTTCATGCATGATTTTTGACGTGAGTACGACACTATGGTGTTAAAAATGTAAATATCTAATTTTAGGTGTTAGACAAGGAAATAAATAAAACTCTTGTTGTATGTGTGTAAATATATATATAGTATTATCTCAACAATTATTACTTGTTATTTCTCCTCTAACTTATATTTTTTTATTATTTTATTATAAAGCTTGCATGAATTGAAACAATTTCGTTGTTTTAAAATAAAAGAGCTGGCTCACACTTATACCATTATATGAACTTGAGCTCAAACTCAATTAATTAGTTAAATTCATGCTTAAGCTAGAAGTGCAGAGACTCCACTCAACTCATTTAAACTCCTACATGGAATGAGGTGAATAATTCAACAAAATCTATCTGAAGAGTCAAACTTATAGTATGAGTACCTCTTCAGTCATGATGTCCCCAACTTTCGTGCTTTTTGATGATCTTCCTTGAACAATAATTTTCCGAAGATAATCTGTAATAAATCAACCAAATGATTATGATACAGTTGAACATACTGCTGTCTAGGATGGTGAAATAAACTTAAGTGAAAAAAAAAAAAAATTTTTGACGCATCCAGTGGGTCAAAAATCAAGCAGATATTGATTGTCACAATCATGGTGAGTTTTAAATGTTGGAAAAAGTCTGTACTCAATATTTCCGAAAATGTAATATTTTAGAAAAGGACCAAAAGGAAGAGCTGCTAAAAAAATATAGCCCCAGAAATGTTACGAACTCTTTATGATTTGTTTGTGTTTCTGAAGGAATTATTGTGATATAACCCTGAATGCTTTACGTGGCTTTTGTGCATTTGTGGAAGTATAAAGCATAACTTATAAGTGTCGTGAAATTTAGGGTGAAGAAAACAAGTCTAGAAGGAGAACACAGATTTAACGAGGTTCGGCAAAGATGCCTACATCATCGGGAGTAAAGCGGTGAATTCATTATTTCAGAGTAGTTACAAACTCATAGGGTTACACATCTATTTATAGATAAAATTCACAAATAATTACAAACACGCTCTCGCTCCCCACAACCCACTAATCCAAGAAACACACATCTTCACACCAAGAGACACACCTCTTCATTCCAGGAGACACACCTCTTCAAATCCAAGAAACTCCAAATTCGTTGTATATGAGTCATACCTAACAATTCTCCACCTTGGCGAATATCCAGCACCTTAGAAAAAAATCTTCACCTTGCAAATATCCAGTCCCTTAGAAGAAAAAATCATGAAGTTTCTTACACCAAAGTGGGTTGGGCAAACATGCCAACTAACAACTGCAAACATTCAACGAGTTCATGTAACGCAAAAACTTGTTGAAAATATCTAGTTTGGTTAACTTTCCTGCAGCATTTTCATCATGTGATCCGACAGAGTGAACTTCACCTACAACTGTACTCCCCAACAGTTTATAGATATTACCATCAGGTTTCATAGTTCGCAATGTCTTCAAAATTGCTTATTGTGCCAACAATCGAAGTTCCTCGTTTCATCGAACTTCATTATCCCGAATTTTGCACCAGACTGTCATTTGAAATTAATCCTCCAGTAAACTTTTACTTGTCTTGTATTAAAACAAAACACATCACAAATAAATTCAAATAAACCTGAAATTTTCTCTGTCAAGTGCAGCAATTTTCCCACAGTTTTCTGTGATTCGTGAATCAAATTTTTCACATGAATCACATTTCCTGTTCGCACAAAAATTCGGCTGAAATACTGTCGACACCAGCCAAACTCCACCTGTCACAATTTCTCCTGCGATAAACTTGCGAACTACGCTGACCGAGCACCACCGTCGCAATTGTACCTGCCGCAACTCCTCCTGCGACAAACTTGCGAACTCCTCTAGCTGCGCATTACCTGTCGCAATTGCACTTGCCGCAACTCTTGCGACAAAATTGCAAACTTCGCTGGCCGCGGACCCCCCTTTTTCCCACCGCCCCCTGCCGCAACTCTACCTCTACCTGCGACAAACTTACGAACTCCGTTGGCCGAGCACTGCCTGTTGCAACTGCACCTGCCGCAACCCTACCTCTACCTGCGACAAACTTGCGAACTCCGCTGGCCGAGAACCACCTGTCAGAACTCTACATACGGCAAACTTGCAAACTTCGTTGGTCGAGCACTACCCATCGCGACTGCACCTACCGCAACTCTACCTGCGACAAACTTGCGAACTCCGATGGTTGAGCACCACCTGTCGCAACTGCACCTGTAGCAACTCCTGCGACTGGCCGAACTCCTCTGTTCCTCTGTTCGCAAAACGAGGTTCTTGTTCACGACAACTGCACGCGAACTCCTGTTCACGAACTCCACCTCGATGAATGCCGCAAAAGTTTGTGATATGTCGCGCCTCGAAGCCTCGACACCGCCTCTACCACGAACTCGTCGAACTGCAGCAGCCCTTTATTCGAATTGCCTCGCACATGTTCGTTCCCGTGAGCCCCCTTGTCTTGCGAACAGTCCGCAAAATTTGTGTACTCATGTTTGCCACTGAACTCCTCTTCTCTATGAAACTGGCTCCGCTCCTTCTCGCTGCGCTGCTCTCGCGCGTCACTCTAGCAAAATAATTTGCTTCCAAGATTCTTCGTCCATCAGCACAGCACAGTTTCCTCTAGCATAAATGAAAGAATTCTTTCCTTCCTTGCCATTGCCTGCAGCCCCAGAAAATCCAGATAGGAATCAAAGATTCCTTTAGTCCTTCCCTTCCTCCAAAAGAATATTCCTCTGTGAAAGATTCCTTGATCCCTTCCTTTTGGTTCGCCCAGAACTGTTGTAACTACCTCCCTGAAACTGCAGACTCTTCCTCCTCTGCGAATCCTCTGCAACCCACGAAATCTCTCCCGCGAGTAACTCCTTCGCAGACAATCTTCCTTCTATAACGACTCCCTCGCGATCTGTCCGAACCGAAGACCTTTCCTACAACGATTCGCCCTTTGCCTCGCTAAAACTGTCGTAAATCCTTCTCCTGTTGTTCTTGCGTCGAAGCCCTGCCAAAGAAACAGACGGAAACCACCGCAGAATCTTCCTTCACGAATGTCGTCCGTGACTTCCTACAATATTCTGCGATTCCTCGCTAGACTCCTCCAAGCCGAATGCCTGTCACGGAAGAAGCCCTACCTGTCGAAGATCACCTCTGCCTCACAAACTGATGCCTGTCGCAGAACCCTCGCAAGCCTGGGTCGAACCTTCGTCGAACTCCCGCACGCGACTCACAGATTCTGGTCGCAGTCGAACTCCTTGTCGCGATTCTTCTCTTTCGCGAACTCTCGCTTCGCCTGTTTGTTCGTTCGGCTGTCGCAGAAAGCAGGAACTACTCACGACCTCCTCGTCGAACTTCCTGTCAGGTCGCACACGATCTGATTTGCGCGAACGATCGTACCGATCGCGAATGATCGGGCCTGCAAAAGGAACTGCCGCAGTTCTTCCTGAAATCAGAACTGTCGAACTTCTCCTTCGCCAACTCTTCCCGTTTGCCACGAATCGCAAATGCCGCGAACTCCTCTGGCAGACACTGTCATGATTCTTCTGGCAAAACCAAACTCCTCTAAGAAACTGTCGCAAACCGCCGAACCAAAACGTTCTTCTTCCTCATTCTTCCTGCGCTGATCTCCGCCCTAGAACCTTTCTCTGATACCAATTGTTGTGAAATTTAGGGCGAATAAAACAAGTCCAGAAGAAGAACACAGATTTAACGAGGTTCGGCAAAGCTGCCTACATCATCGGGAGCAGAGCAGCGATTTCACTATTTCAGAGGAGTTACATACCCATAGGGTTACACATCTATTTATAGATAAAACCCACATATAATTACAAACACGCCCTCGCTCCCCCCAACCCACTAATCTAAGAGACACACCTCTTCACACCAAAAGACACAACTCTTCATTCTAGGAGACGCATCTCTCCAAATCCAAGAGACTTCAAATTACTGGTATATGAGTCATACCTAACAATAAGCACAGATTTGCATTTCAAATAAGTTCATTCCCGGAAAAGTTAGATAATTTTGTGAACAAAAGCATATGCTTAGAAAACTTGCCATTGGTTATAGTGGACCAATTACCCCACAAAGTGGACATAAATTTTGAGTTGTTATTATGTGTTGCATATTTAAGTTATTTCTTTTATCTCATAAGTCATTATTTTTTCAGTGTTATAATCTGTCATTAAATTTGTTTACAATTTATTAGCAGCACGTTAGTTGTTAGTAGTTTGTTTAGCGAATTGGTAGTAGTTTTTTGTTTCTTTCATTTATGAAATGGAAGTTTGGATCATGTAAGATATGCTGGCATTAACTATATCTATTTAATGGGACGTATAATCCTTAGGGTATTTTAAGATTAGATAATAATTTAGAAAAAAATCTTTAAAGGAAGCAGTATGTCTGATACCCAATGAATTAAATTTGTTAAAATAAAAGCAACGAGCCTTAAAAAATTATTTTAGTGAAGAGTTGCCAAATACGTATTCTTCAGTAATAGAGATTAATAGCTTGATGCTCAATTATAGTCATTAATTTCTGTAAAAAAGCCATGTAATTTTCAAATGAAATGATCGTCATTTTCTGATGTTCATTAAAAGTGGTCAGATATTTGTCATGACCTTCATATTTTATGCCCTACGAATTTTGTGTTTCTTGAACGAATTTTGTATTTCAAATTAGATTGGCATTAAAAAACCTACAACCTAAGAAGTCCTACGTGAATTTTTAACTCCAAATGGTTGGCTCCAAGACAGGATCTACTAATGCAGCGGTGTTCCCATGGGGTTTCTGATAAAAAGTAAGACAGGTCCTCATTTTCGAAAGGGTAAGTGCAGTACCACTCTCACCGGCCTGAGACATCCCGCAAGAGCCCTGGTAGAAGCGAGTTTGGTAACTCAGAAATAATAACTAATTATATGTAAAATGACCCTGGTTTCTAAGGTTTAGTACTTTATTTTTCCATGAATAAAAGGGGGACTCAATGTTATTTTAGCTATGGAAAAAAATTGGACAAGTCATACATGAAAAACAGTCATAAATAAGCATTTCAAGCATAAAGTTCTGTTTATAAAAAATTCACATTAGTAGAAGACTTATGACACCTCTTTCTGTGATGATTCCAGCAATTGCTTCATCTGCTCCAGGCTTTAGCACCACCAAAGCTCCCACATTGTGCTGCGTCATCTGAAATTGGACAAAAGCTGGTTATCTCTTTACAAGACAATGAAAAATATTTCAAACGGTAATTCTTCACTAATTAAGACATGCATAGAACTCTTTTGCAGACTTAGAGAATAGAAATATGCTCTTACAGATTTCACAGCATCGTATACAGTGTCATCTGTAGAGCACCATAGCCAGGAGCCATCAGCACCTTTACCTTTGGCATTCAATACATCTGCAATTTTGGTGCTCTCAAATCCATGTTCTTCGAGTTTAGAAGCAGAAATTGATTCAGAGCGTGAAAACACAACAGATCGGGCGGCTGGAGCTATGACACGTACATGCTTCAAAATAGTGTATTTGAGCACATTTCCATGTATACATATTGCCTGGAACAACCCTTGCATTCTTCCTGCCTGATGATAGTCCATATGTCAGCTTGGATTTTAAAATGATTGAATAAAAAAATGTCTTCTCAGATTTTACTGCAAATATGGCCATTGGAACACTGCTTAAAAGGTAAACTTGTTAGGAGAAGCTTATCGTTAGGTTTATAGAGCTGGGAAAATAAAGCATTCGAGAAAAATTAGAAATTTCAAAAAGATGTCCTTCGTTAGATTTTCAGCATGTATAAATTGACTTGGGTATTTTTGGGGCAGCTTTCTCACTGCGGTACTTCTCAGCCCCTACAGTTGCCTTTGAGTGTAGTTTTTTTACTGCTTTCTAGAAATTTTTATGGTGAGAGCCGCTATTTACAATAAGATTAAAATGTGATAACTATATAAAAGCTGATATTTCAATATAATAAATATATATTTTAAATACCCAGAGCAGCATTCAGTGCATGCACGTGATGATGTTAAAAAACTTCCACTTGATAGTAGAAACTTGACAGCTGCGGAAAATTCTTACAAGAGCGAGATATTGTTTAGTCATGTAGAGTTTTGGGTTCAAGCTCAATCAGATGGATCAAAATAAATTGCGAAAAAATACCAAGTGGTTATCCCTAATCCATAAGCTAAAGTGTTTGGATTGAAAATGAGTTTAACCACAAATGTATACTGCCCGTTTTAGTCCCTCTTTAGTTCACTCTATAACAAGAGATAACAAATCCAGGTGTCGATTCACATGATTCTTAGGAAAGCTGCTATCTTAATGTGTGGGTATCTTAGTCAATTAAAGAGTTTGTTACGATTCATGTAGTAGCATGATATTGTCTTTTGGAACAGCACGGTACATCAAACTGGCAGAACATCGCTCTGGGCATAAATTTTAAATGTTAAGAATTTAATGTTCAAAGAATTTTGAACTCACTTATCCCAAACTACAATGTGATAGCACTCAGGGCATCCAACATGATTAGTGAAGATAAGAAAAGATATGGATGAATGAAAAGTACTTGCAACCACACACTTTGCTTGATGGGGAGGCTTTGATAAAGTTATTGGAGGCGTCAACTACAGAAAGTTTATGGCTTAATATGTAATCATTGTTCAAGACCAGCAGCTTCTCCGATAAACTCTATCAGAAGTAAATGTTGTTTTAATTATGCAAACAAGAAATTAGTAAATTCTGTTAAATATGAAACAATTTAGTTTCAGATATTTATGATTTGAAAATGTTGTTGAGATTACTGATGATAAGAAATATATTTTATTACTCTCTATCTTACAGGCGCTATTGTGACACCATATCATATGAAAGAGACACCATCAATTAAAAAGATTCAAGGAACTCACAAAATATGTGATTTCCAAGTTTGACACGTCGATGAAGAAAAGTAAGATTAGAGATTATTCGTTAGGAGACTACTAAATAAATTATCATTCTTTAAAGATAACAGCAAAAATAAGACATGTTTCTATTACAAGAGACGGGTACACCTTAAAAAAAAAAAGATACCATGGCATTGAAGAAAAAGAAAATATAAGTAAAACCCATGAAGAGAACATGATGGCAAAGCAAAGAGAATTTATATTGTTTCTACTGATGCTCTTTCGATAATAATAGGTTATAGGTAAGGTGATTAGTGGGTACTTTACTAAGCGTGTTCTTTTCAAAAATGCCATAAGATCATTTTTTGAGTAGGATTGTTTGTCAAGGCACTAATTGTATTACATGCATGATTGCCAGACTATGACTTTTGCAAGGATAATAAATTACCTAATCAAGAGTGGACTGTATACCTTTGGGTGTTCCGAGTGATGCAAGGTATACCATACATATTTCTTGAGTATATTGAATAGAATTCAGAGAGCTACAAAAATCTCTTGCAGGTTTTCTGTACATGTGCACCACATAGCATTGGGCACTCATAGGACTTTAGTGCTCAACTTAAAGAGAATTCATGGAAGAGATCCATTTTTGTGACAACATTGGTCAATCAGGTGGACAGGGTGTCTCGGATTAGATTGGGATATGAATAACCAACTTTATTGCCATGTCATCTAAAAAATCACGCCTTCTTAGACCATGTAGGATTAATCTCGAGAATACCCATTTGAAATTTGTGCAAGCTAGTCATCACTCTTGGTATTCATTCTTGGCTTCTAGTATCTATATGAAATTTGTTTGATATAGGGCTTAGATCAAGTAATATAGAGGTTTCTCTTAGTTCCCCATATAATCTCTCAAATCTAGTTTATCTGCAGGAATGGTGGCCTCAAACAAAGCACGCCAAAAAGATGAAAAATTTTGTGAAGGTAAAATCTTTGTTTGAGATTCTGGAGATTTCTTCGCCTTCTTAGAGGTTTTTTGGCAACTTTTAGGATTAAATACTGTAAATTTGGATTTAGTAAATCCTAAAATGGTTAAATCTTAAAAACTTTTTACAGTGGATTTAAATTATGTTAAATCATGTGAAGTTGTTTGGCAAACTTGGCGAAAATTTAAAGTTTATTAGGTTTGTTAGAATAAAAAAACGTAAGTATGCTTTCATTTTTTCATGACTACAATTAAATTTAATTATTAAATCTAATTACATTAAATTTAATTGTTATTCCTAATTATGCTAATCAGACCTTAACTATTTATTAAACTAACCGATTATTATTGAAAATTTTGTCAAACTAATTCTTTATTAAGCAATATTTAACATCTCTTATTTAATAATTAATTATTTTTTTATTATACTAATTAACAGATACTTAAAATTTTATTAAATTGAGTTTTAATATGTAACTTATTTTTATTAATTAATTATTAAATAATTACATATAAATTCATCTAATTATAACTTATTTGATAATATATCAATTAATTATTATTTATGAATAATTAAATTAAATCGATAAACCTATCTTCCCCTTCCCTCCCTCTCTCATGCACTAAATCCTTGTCTAGCTGCCGCACCCTCCCGTTTTCGCCCAAAACCATGACGCAATTAGAGCTACCTAGAGAAACATCGACGGAATCGAGGCATACACAGACCATTGAAACTCCAACCTTTCTCCTCCTCCTGCAGAGCCCCTACCTGAAACCATTGAGGAATATGATGATCTTCATGTTCATGCAAGTTCGAGCAAGACCATTTTCTTTCACGCATTCCCGGATTTACTAAATCTGTTGAACAACCAAATTTATTAAATCTGAGATTTAAGTCGAAAATAGGCGAAATCCGAATTTAGTAAATCCTAAAATTTGATTTGTTCAAGTGACCGATTGGCGAGATTTAGCTTAAATCCTGGTTAAATCCTTCTTTCAATCCTTGACTAGACAGCCCCTTCGAGTGTACTTAGACCCTTCAAAATTAGAAAAGCTGGCTAGTGCTAATGTTTTATGGACGTTTGTTAGTGGATTATATTCAATGGTATATTTTCTCCTCTTATGTCATAGCTTCTGGCAAATCATACTTCATCCCATTAACACTCCCGCGGAAAGTAAATCTTCTTTTTGACGCCTCTTCGTACTATGCCTTACAATTAAAATAGCTACAAAATGATCATCTTATAAAAACTTAAACCACATAGATTTTAAAAGCAGATATCATTACATTTGGATCTGTTCAACTAGCTCTTTAAAAAACATACTATGGCTTCTTTGTCGAGTTGCACCAGTGTCATGCTCCACTTTTTGTACTTTGCTAATTATCCAACCCAGCTTTCTATATGATCCACAGCCACAAATCCACCTCTCATCATTATTATTATCATTACACAAAAATTTTGTTGTATGCTGAAAGATTCATAGTGACAGAATGATAATTTAATATTTCAGCATTTTACAAAAATCCAACACACACAAATAATAGAAAAGTATGAAGAAGAGAAACACATTTTTTTTTATATGGAAAAATCTTAGAGGGAGAAACCCATTGAGTCTAGCCCAGTCAAAGTAATCCACTAGGTGATTATATATACATAGATTCACTTTTCTTTTGAAGTAAAAAAGATAAAAGTACAATATTGATAATCACAAATGCACGACAATATTTTAACTTTAATATTAATAATTATGCTACAACAAATGTAGTTTTCAATGATAATAGCGATACTGGGTTGTAAAGATTGAAGTTGATTACTACAAATGAAGTGGTTTGCCTCAAACATTATAGATGGTTGTTGCGATAGCATTATCCTATCGTAGAGACCGTGGTTGAAAGTCGTAATAGGAGTTGATCACATAGACTGTAATTGATATCTTCATAAGGGTCAGTCGGTTAAGAAGGCCGTAGTGAGAGATTACAATAACAACAACCGCTCATGTAGAACGTAGTAAGCAGTTACGTAGCAACTGATCAAATAAGGCGTAGCAGATAGCTGTAAGAGCATCAGTTGGCTACAAAGACCATAGTGGAGTGTTGTAATGGCAACAGTTGGTGATGTAAGGCATAAAAGTTGGCCATAAAAGTCATTGAGCTACATCAATTGATGATAACAATCCTTTCTCGAGTTTGCTATTACACCAGAGACGACACTTATCGGTATATGACATGCGATAAAAACTTCAAAAGTTCTGAAAAAGTCATTGTATTCTGAGTACAATGATTGTAAATAGTTGTCGTCAGAGTTATGTCAGATCTTCAATATGTCGTTATTCATTAATTTGTATTTGGAATACGTCATTACATAATATTCAGGGGCGTTGTTACACTATATTCAGAGTACGTCGTAACAAAGTATTCAAGATGCACTGTTACACAGTATTCAAGATGCGTTCTTATACTGTATTTATAGTATGTCGTTACACCATATTCAGGATACATCGTTATATCATATTCATCGTATGTTACTACACAGTATTCAACATGTATTTTTACACCTTATTTAGCGTACGTGTTCTACTATATTCATGGAGCATTGTTACACCATATTCAAGGTCGCACTCACATCGTATTCAGGGTACATCATTATATCGTATTCAAGGTGGGTCGTTACAAAGTATTAAGGGTGCATCGTTACACCGTATTCAAAGTGCGTTGTTACAAAATACTTAAAGTGCGTTGTTACGTCATATTCAATGTGCATCGTTACACCGCATTCGAGGTATGTTGCTACATTATATTCAGCATATGCAATCACACCATATTTAGTGTGTCGATGCAACGTATTTAAGGTGTGTCGCTGCACCGTATTCAGAATGCGTCGCTGCACCGTATTCAGAATGCGTCGTTACAAAGTAACCAGAGTGTGTCGCTACACCATATATAGAGTGTGTTGCTACATCATATTTAGGGTGCACTGCTACACTGCATTCAAACTGTGTCGTGCAACCATATTGCGCATCGTTACTCCGTCGGGTACTTTGCTACTCTGCAATGTGCATTTTTACTCTACAGTGTACTTCGTTGCTCCGCAAAGTCCACCGATGAAGGAGAGTAGGTGATCTCCAGAGGTGGTCGCCAACGACCGGCGGTGGACAACGACGGTTGGAGGGCAGCGAGCGATGGTCGGTAGCTACGGAGGTCAGGAGCTATCGTCGGATCTTCAGTTCAGAACGACTCTGAAATTCAATTCATTCATCTCCTTCATCCCTCCCACTCTAGATGAAGAGATGGGTCTATTTATAGACCTTAGAAGAGGGCTTGATCGTAATTTGGCAAATAACCAATATATCCACTCAATCAAACGACCCTCATTGATTCTTGTCGATCATAGGAAATTTTTTTATGATCTTATGGCCTTAATGACCTCGAAATCGGGTGATCTTGGGCCCATTAAATTTCACTCATTGAGACACTAAATTTGATTATGAGTACGTCAACTTTGAAATTCATTTGACTCTCTAATTAATCACTCAAAGCCTCCAAATGTAGTTTAATGGCTTGATTCGGGTATGATTGAACTTGGATTGGATCAATTTTTGTGCTAGTAGGTTCACCTCATCAAGCCGATCAGTTTGACTATAAGTTTGTTGAAATCAGAGCTCTAGAATATTTTAAATTTGGATCGATTCATTTTTTGCTAAAAAAAATGCCTTGAGATTCGGGTCAACTCCCCAAGATTCGTGCCAAATCATCAAATTTGTTGATGGCACATCAAATTTAAGTTTTGAATTCCATCTGGATCTGTCTCGAACTAGATCAACGGAAACTGAAATACTTAAACGATAACTAGCCTCCAGTAACACAGATTAACTGTCAAAACAAACTAATAAACCAGATAAAAGTACCCACCAACCACCCAGTAGTGACAAAAAACATAACCTAATCATGCCGTTGCACAAGCAAACTCTACACCCCAAACAAGCTCAAAGATCGACGCATGCAACTTTCCAATCTAATCCACAGTTGTAACTAACACCACAGGAAATCCAATCAATAGCTTAATGGAATCTACCGGATAAATCTGCAGACAAAAGGCGCGATCCTACAAAAAAGATCAGTAGAAAATACACTCTTGTCGAGAAATACTAGAATTTAGCAAACAGTTGAAGTCAGGGAGATAGATAGTGAGTGCTTAATCCCCTCACCTTCAAGAGAAGTTAGCAGCAGCGGAGGTAGTGGCGGCTGTGGCGGGGAAGTGACGAGGGTTTCGCGGGGGAGACAACCAGACTTATCCACTCACAGCACAGAGCTTGTCGTTTTCTACGGGCGTTACCGTCCACGTACACCTACCTTTTTTTCTTTTTGTTGTGGCACGATGAGCATGTATGTAAATAAAGTAGCTAGACATTAAATAAGTGATTTACATGCATACCACTCAATTCTTATGTATTTATAAATCTAAACGTTAAACTTAAGCTATTTTTTATTTTATTTTTTAAAACTTTAAATAGCAATTTTTTTATGCTATATGAAATTTTAGGATTTTTTATATGAAATTAAAATTTTGGGTGGTATAAATATAAAAAATTAAAATATAGGTGTTACGCATGCGAATACATCAGAAATTGGCGGCATGTATGTAAATGCTGCCCCAAATAATTATTTATTTAATTAAATTATTTAAGAAATTAATACAAACCAAATCATTTCTCCAAGGGCCACTTTTAATCACCAGCATATTTTTTATTTGTTTTAACATGCATAATCGAAAATAAAATAAAAAATGTTAAGAGATCTATTGAATTCTATTGAGACGAGTTTCTTAGTGTTCAAGCATAAAACTTTTAATAATGAATTGAATGTCTTTATTAATTGCGATTACACTCTCAAATAGATGATCTAGCACATGTGGGTTGGGTTATCCTTTTGAGATCAATGGATACAATCACTTCGACAGCGTGGGCTTGATTCGACTACTTTAGTTAATGAGTTCGATTCAACCACTGTGACAAAAGGGCTCGATTCAACTACTTCAATCGGTGGGTTTGATTCAGAAAAATAAGCAAAAATTATTCATATGATTGTATTTTTGTATGCATTTAGTTTGCCGATTCTCTCGACTCTTTGACCGGACTTTCACAAGAAGAACGAGAAAATGAAGTGCTGACATCAAATTTTTTATGTCGCGTGTGTAAGGTGTCAACTTGACTGACTCGAGGTGACCCACTACTCATTCATAGCACTCAGTAGCTCAAGACACCCATCTGAGACTTCCCGGTGTGTGTTCGAGGAACGAAACTAGGGTTCGCGAAGATTTGACCTTGCATGGGAGAATCTGTCATTGAACAAACTTAGATGGGACATAGGACATGTTTGGTGTTCATTATAGCGTTTAAAGACAATGTCAAAACCATATGAGTCTCCCGTGGACAAAGGAACCCATCGAAAATTTCCGCTGACATTCCAAGGATTTTATGGCATAGAACGTCATATCTGTGCAATAATTCTGGGGCACTCGTCATCACCATAATCATTGTGAAAATACGCATAAAATACTTCTTTCCAAGGTTTTGAGACTTTATTTTAGTCATATTTGATTCCCCAAAGCTTTCAGATTGAAAAAAAAATCTTTTGTCCAGCACTTCCGATACAAATCAGAGTTTTCGGGATAGACCGACGCCTCGACGCCTTCCCTAGGCTCCCAGGCACCCAAAATCACCCTGAAACAGTGTTTTCCCAAGCCCTGAGAAAATAGGTGCTAGTCCCCTAGCTCCTAAACGCCTGTCCCGTGCACTTAAGCACTCAGAATGTTATAAAACAATATTTTTTCGAGCCTTGGAAAAGTAGGCGCTAGACCCCTGATGCTTAGGCACTAGTCTAAATTCTACCCCGGTTTTATCTCGTGAATTTCATTGTTTTGACCATAGACCAAGCCCTTAGAAAGCTGAAATCGCAGGGTTTTCTTGGTCCATGGGGAGATTTTCTTAGGGTGGGGAGATAATAGGATGATTAAACCCCTTTTTGAAGCTTCTAAGATAAGATGCAGGTTATTTTTGGCAAAAAGAAGGGGAAAGTTTGGGCTGCTAGCTTTTCTTCCTCTTGGCTCCTCTAAATACTCCATCTTTAGCATTTTTGGCATTCTTGGGAAGGCTTGGAGTAGCTTCTTCTTCCTCTTCTACTTGGAGAAAAAGCCAAGGTTTTCTTTTGAAGGTCTCTTGGTGAAGAGTTTGGGAGAAAGGTAAGGAGAGGGTTTAGCTTCCTACAACCTTTTTTTTTTTTTCTTCTTATCCCTCATTTCCACCCAAGAAACCTTCTTCCTTCATCTTCTTCCTCTTCCACCACCACTTTCCTTGAGTGTGTGTGAGATTTTCTTGAGGAGGGGCTTGGCTAACAAAGAGGGCAAGGTGTCTCACCTTCTACGGTGAAGGAATGCTTCTTTATACTTTAGGAAAGGATTGCCAGCGCTTTGCTGGAACTTCGCTGGAGCTCAGGATTATGAAACTTCACTAAACTCTCCTCCTATGGGACAACTTCTTCATTTCTTTGGGAAGGAGAGGAGCGAACCCCACTGGAGCTTCGCCAAAACCTCATCGGAGCTCGGACAAGCAAAGCGAGCGTGTCCTCAACCTTCGCAATAGTGAGACAACTCGTAAACTCTTGCGATTTCTTTTTCTTGAGCTCCTTGAACTGGATGTCATGGAATATATATTAGGTTTGTTTGTGCTTAGAGGAAACCTAATAGGATTAGGAGCTATGTGCTTCCAATACAAATTTAAAGAGCAAACCTACCCTTTTCCTTTCTTAGACAAAAGATCAAAAAATCGGGGATGTGCTAACCCCTTGGCATTACAATTGCATCCGGTGATTAGCTTGAAACATTTAAGAGAGACAACACGAGACGTTGCTCGAAAAGGCCATCAGATTATGGTGATGAAAATCCTAACGACCTTTTGTCAATGAATCCATATTGCATGCGCTTCTCATCGAGCCCTTATAAACGAAAGAGAGCATTTCAAGCAAAATTTTGTCAAGCTAGAGCACAAGATTTATGAGGTGGAGCAAAATATTTCTCTTTGGGTGGATTCCATGAAAAAACATCCAGGTAAGATTGATGATGCTTGAAGAGGAATAATTAAGCATGGAATGCTTCTTTGACCGAATATACAGATGAAAATGTAGTTTTCGAATGACAAGTAAGGATGTTGATGCTCGATAAGAAAATACTCGAGAAAGAACTGTTTGATAATAAAACTACTCATATTGCTTTTAGAAAAGTGAATGGGAGAATTCACGAGGTTGATTTGAAAGTAAAAGTTGACATGTAGAGGATGGAAATGAAGTTGGAGCGGGAGAGAAGGAGATCATAAGAATAAGTAGAAGAGCTAGAAAGTCATCACATTCAAGTGTACCATAAAAAAAAAAGTAAGCTGGTTAATATGGGGTCTGGAAAAGGAGGAATTATTGCGTGCGGACACCGCATGCATCTCTGCATGCGGTGTCCGAACCTGGCCGTAGATCACCGTGATCTACGGCCAGGATTATTTTCGTTTTTTTATAAAAAAAAAAACTTAGGTGGGGCCCCACCGAAATACATCGAGACCGGATCGGACACCGCACGCAAGCGTCCGATCCGTATGAAATAATTTTTCCTGGAAAAGGGATTCTATCTCATTATATTGCTTTTGCCTTAACTTTTCACAGAAACTCTTAAGAACAAATCAAAATAGTGACACCCTCGACCAATCACGATTATCCATCCGACTTTTATCTCATTGTAAAATTTATGTTTTTTTTTTAGTAGTATTGTTTATTAGGGTTTAGCGTAGTGGAACCGGTTCAGTTACTGGCTTATTATCGTCAGCCTTTTCCCCCATTCCATCTTAAAACCTCGATTATAAGACCTCGTCGACGACTTGCAGAAAGTTCGCCATTTGACGCGCACTCGAACTAGCAATGCGTCCGGCGAAGTAGTTAGTCAATCCGACAGCGAAGACCGAGCGAACCAATCAGACAAAAAACGAAAAAAAAATCCTCTCTTGACTCGCAAATCACGGGCCGTAGACGAGGCGGATGATTCGCACGACGGCGATGCTCAGTTCCTGTCTGCGTCCGTCTTCCGCCCTCCATCCCTCCTTTTTCTAGATCCATAAAACAGATTAAATCGGTACGAATAAGTTCCTAGTGCGACCGCAATCGGTCTGAGTCGTTTCAATCCCTTCTTTTCTACTTGAGGATCTTTGTCTGCTTGATGCGGCGGTTATCGTCTTTCAAATCAGCATTAGGGTATCGGAATTGAGGACTACTCAATTTCGAGTTTGCTGAAATATCAGTCTTCCGTAGAAGGATCTGATTACGCGAGAAAGTATGGTAAAGAAGGTGCTATGTACTTTCGTATCATTTGTAAATTTTCATTTCCTATTTTTAGAAGATATATTTTGACGTTAATTATACTTATGGAGGTTGGTTTAGTTGGCGCTGTAAATTTTTATTTTTTGATTGTTAGATTTGTGTGTAAAAACAATAACACTTTGCTTTGCTGATTAAAACTGAAAGGATAGGTGCTGTTTGGCTAAAAGTAGGATTTAACTGTTAGATTTTTCGTTACCACTTCTTAAATCTTGTTAATGAACTGTTTTGCTATTGGTTTCCTGATTCATGGTTTATGGATAAATTCTTAAATAGAACAGTAAGTTTTAATAAATATTAAATTTTATTAACCGGAGCTGAAGTTCAAATTATCAAAATAACAGGATTTAAAATTCAAAATTCTATTTTGCAGGATTTAATCTAAATCTTACTTGAATCCTGCCCAAAATAGGATGCCGAAAGCACCTAAATAATCTGTTTCTGGTTGCCATTTCTATCCCTTTTCTCCCCATCTCACTCCTATAAAGTTACCGAATTAGGAATTAGGAGTGTTGTTTCATTTATTCCTTGTTTCTTTATACTAAATGGTTATGCTATACAGATGGGAGGTGTAGAAAAAATGGATTTTGAGCTTAATGAAGTAGGATTTGATGGTTCACCTCCTTCTGTGGCAAAGATGCAGTTATTTGAGCATATTGGGCCACTGGCTGCTGCAGCACAGTCGTATAGCCCCAAGAGAGCTTGTAATAGGCTATTGATGAGCATCTATATTGTCATATTCAAGGCGAGAATCAACGTTTTACTGCCTTTTGGGCCTTTTGCAGTGATTCTCCATTATCTTACAGGAAAACATGTATGTTCATTTTGCAATTTTCTGAACAGCTTTTAGATTCTCACTTCATTCTATGAATTGTATTTTTCATTTCTTTTGTACATTTAGGGCCTGTTTGGGGTAACTTATTTGGTGCGGTGGTGTTTTGAAAATGCACCAGGGCTGTTCGGGTAAACTGCGTTTTGGCAGCTTATGCGTTTTCAAAACGCTGAAAACAACGTTTTCACACCGCATTATCTGGGTGCGGTGGCAGCTTTCTGACTGCAGTTTGGCTTTCAAAAAAAAATAAAAATTTGTAATGGCGACCGCACCTAGCTTATCAACATATTATTTTTAATCAGCTTATCAACAAATTATTCAGAAAGCTGCAGCTGCCCCAAACAAACCCTTAGTTTAGTGCTTTCTCTTGTCAATATGAATACTTTTTCTCTTTGTTACATGAATTTGAGGTTGATTTCATGCAGCCCATTTGGCCTAGTGGTTTACACATACAAACCAGACTGCATAGTTCTTATGGATTTACATGTCTAACACCCAAAGTTTGATATTTTCTCTTACAACACCTTGATGCATGAAAATATATATTTCACTTTTAAAAAGATAGCGATGGTGGTATTTTTTATTTGATGTTAAAGATTTGACTGATATGCATGTAAAGATGAAAGTTTAGATGTCAGATATGTAAATACCTAAGACTTGTTGTAAATGATACAGCTGCCATTTACTTGAAAAGCGCCAAATGCAAACCCTGTTTTTTTTTTTTTTGAGATTTTGAGCAGACATTGGTAACAATATTTCATCTACTTTTCAGGGATGGGTTTTCTTTTTCAGCCTTGTTGGTATAATACCTTTAGCAGAGCGATTGGGTTATGCGACCGAGTAAGTATGACTCAGCATTAAAATTTGTTTCTACTGGTTTTACCTTCACGATCTAATTATATTCTCTAATTTGAGTTCATCTTGGATGATGCAGGCAGCTAGCATACTATATTGGGCCCACAAGTAAGCTGTTGCCTCTACTCTTTGTGAGATACGTATTCCCTTTTATGTTGTGGTAGATATGTCATTTTATTATTTTCGAATCTTATAGTTTGTAATTACAGTTGGAGGTCTTTTAAATGCTACTTTTGGGAATGCGACTGAAATGATCATATCAATTTATGCTTTAAAAAATGGGATGATCCGTGTTGTTCAACAATCTTTACTGGGATCTATATTATCGAACATGCTCTTAGTTTTAGGTTGTGCTTTTTTAAGCGGCGGGATTGTGCATTCTGACAAAGATCAGGTTTTCAACAAGGTATCTGCAACAATATACTTCTTTGGCAGTATTATATTATTTTCTTCGGAATTGTACGTACATACCACACAATTCTTTTGTATTTGCATATCTCACGCCTAAACTTTTATATCCACACACATAGCACTTTGGTGCTCTAAACCTATGCATGAGTGTATCTCACTTCTAAAAAGTGATAATAATACTATGTTTGATGTGATATTAAACATTTAAGTGCTATGTGTGTGAATATGAAAGTTTAGATGTGAGATGTGTAAATAAATTAGAAGCGGTATCTATGTAGATGCCCCTATTTGCTTATCTGCATGACCATAAATTCCTTTCTTGTTCACGGAGGAAAGTTAATTACCACAGGCTTCTGCTGTGGTAAACTCAGGGCTACTGCTGATGGCTGTGATGGGTTTAATGTTTCCAGCAGTCCTTCATTTTACACACTCAGAGGTTCAATATGGAAAATCTGAAGTTTCTCTTTCAAGATTCAGTAGTTGTGTGATGCTAGTAGCATATGCTGGCTATCTTTTTTTTCAACTCAAGGGTCATCACAACATTTATCGACCAGTTGATGAGGTCAGTCATCTGGATGGTTTGGTTTACAAAGAAATTAGTTTTTGGAATTCTATTAATTCAGAGATTTCTTCCATTCTTCTGTTCATAGAAAGTTACTTAATCCCATGCTATTGAAGCTTCTAATTTTGCCTCTATAGTTTACGACTAATCATCATCTGCTTCTGCTGACTTTTTTTCTGCTATAACCACTTGCCTGTACTACTAATTGGTGTTTGGTGACCCACAACTATATCCTACCTTCCAATTGGAAGAATTTGCTTCTCATTATTGCCATACTTAAAGTTTTCTTGAAGTATGTTTGCGCTGTCAAAAACACATGTATTGGTCTTAGAATATTGTTAAATTTATAACTCGTGCAGTATATTCTGAATCTTGTTTAAGTATATTTTTTTAGATTATGAGATTTTTTTTTTGTTTTTGGATTATTTATATGCTATTAACAGGACATTTGAGATATGTAGGATTCATTGGATATTGAATATTGAAATGTAATTCTAATTTTCTCTTTTGTGTGTGCTAGTTGGATGTGTTTTTGTTGAATGTTTCATAACTGTGGATGATTACTTATTGAGGGACTACTTGTATTAATTTGAGTCCCTAGTTCTTTTATTTGGAGTGATTGATATTTGAACACTTGTCCTTTAATTTTGGTCCCTAGTTATGCTTTTGTTTTTGAAACTTTGTCAAGTGATATATGCTCTGGATTTTCCTTTGAGCTTGAACTTGATTTACTGCTAAAATTTCATTTTTATTGCTATTTTTTAATGAAATTTCATATTTTGGATGATTGTTAAATTTTATTTTGAAATGAACAAAGCTTGTTTGTTGTCCTTACATAAAAGCAATACTTTTTACTAAAATTATGTGTTAGTAACCTATCGCTTGTTTTTCTTAATCATGCATTTATTCCTGATATCAGTTGAAACCTTAGTAACCTATCGCTTGTTTTTTTTTAATCATGCATTTATTCCTAGTATCAATAGAAACCTTAGAATTTTAATTATCCCACATTAAATTGGTGTCAAAGCATATGATTGCATCAAGTATGATATAATAATTGAGTCAACAAAAAATTAATAATAGACATGACAAAAATAAAAAGGATAAGTCATGGCTCTAAACAAACATAGCGTAACTATTTATTTTTTACTTTCATGTTCACTATATCATGATAGCCTGTTAATGGCTCTGTGAATAATGTAATCAATATGAGATATGATCTCGATGAATTTTCATGGTAGATTGATAATTTAAATGATTTTTTTGGAATATTATTATTTATCTTATTTTGAAAAAGTTGAATGTGCTAACTGTAGGCTAGGTCGTGCTTAATTGTTTTGGATAGTTTTTCAAACAAAACAAACTGAACATTGGGTGACATGACATAGACCTAGAGATAAATATATGATGAATTTAGAATATCGACATTAACTAAGTAATAACTTTAAGGGTTATAGACAGCATGTCTATGTATTAATATATGTTTACCTATCTTGTAACTAAACATTGTTTGCCTTTAGATTGCTTTGTTTTCATTCTTTGTTCTGTTAATGGTACTAGGCAATATATTAAGTTTGGCTTAAGCTACAATTTATCAAAAATTATATGTGAGGCCTTAACCCTCTTGAATATTGAGGCATACCATGAACAATTTATTTGTAAACTACACCTTGTTGAGAGAGATCGTGGAAACCGATTCAAGAGATCTGAAATAAAACTTTGAACATAAGCGCACAAAATAAGAAATCACAAAAAACACAAATAAGGTGAAAATTTAACGTGAAATAATCCGAAAAACTAAAAAAAAAAAATTATGCAACTACCCCACACCAAGAAATTCATTATGAAAAACGAGGAGAATTATACGAATTACATTACACTCAAACCTCTCCACACTTTGGAACTCAAGAACACTCTTCTTATTCCTCATACATAAAAAATTCAAAATCCAAATGCTCGACGCACTTAAATAGACACATACTTCTGCTGGAAGACTTAAAGTCCTGAACTGTCAACAACAGTTGTTGGCACTGTGACACCACCCCCGAGCAATGGGTTTCCAGGTGTCCGGATTCAGGATCTGTTTGGGTGTGGCTGGGCCCCTCTTCAGCGTCGGAATTCCTTGCTCTTTGTTCCGGAAGCAGTTGCTGGGCGATTAAGCGCCCTACTGATGTCAGGGCGCTACTCTAGGCGCTGGGATGCCCCAACATTTCAAATTAGGCTCCAAATATAACAATCTCCAACTTGGAGATTGATCGCAATCATTTTCTCTCCAAATATGTACAATCTTCATAGTGATGTACTGTAAAGCGACTCAACCCCGGTCTCAACCTTCCCGAATTCCAACTGAAGCCAAACATATCTTCAGTTTTTGAATTGTAATAATCTTAATTAACATATCTGTAGGATTTTATGTTATATGTATCTTCTCCAAAGATAATTGACCATTTTCTAGGAGTGAACAAATGAAATTATACCTTCACTGAATATGCTTTGTTTTGACATGAAATGCAACATTCTTTTTTGTCGGATGAAAGACACTCATATTGTTACCATTAAACTTTCCATTCCCCTGTTCCTTGCCCAATTATACCATAAAGTTCTGTAACTAGAATATTTTTTTTTGCTAGTCTCGGTGATAGAACTATACTTAGCTTCTGTAGTTGAGTGCAATAATCTTCCACATCTTGGAAACCCAATTCACTGCTGTGCTTCCCAAAATGAAGATATAATATGTTGAAGTTTTACCGTCAATATCATTTGCAAAATCTGAATTTATGTTTCTCTGTAGATGAATCCATGCACTTTCAAAACAACGTGTTAGGTTGATTGTTTCTCTCAAGTATCTGAGAACCCGCTTTGTCAACTGCCAATACTATTTACCTAAATGACTCATGTACTTTTTGATTAGTCTTATTGCATGTGTAATAACTGATATTATATATCAAAACATCATCAAACTTCCAATAGTTGAAAATATGAGATTCTTTATGTGTTTGCTCAACTTCATATCTAGGCGATTGTTCCTTAGATAGTATAAAATAATTTGTTAAATGAGTGTAAATTGGTTTTACCTCACTCATGATGAATCTGTGTATAATTCTTAACATATTCACATGTGTCCGCACTCATATCTCTGCTAATTCTCATACTGAGATTTTTCTTGATTGAACCTAAATTATTTATTTCAAACTCCCTTGATAATTGTTTTTTGTCTCTAATTATCTCCATATTTGTTCCTACAATCAACATGTCATTCACATGCAAAAAAAATAATATAGCAATTATCAAACTATTTACGAAACAATAATGATTTGCTTGACATTTCGTGCACCCACTGTCTGATATAAACTTGGCAAATCTTCTATACCACAGTCTTGATGTTTGTTTCAAATCATAAAACTCTTTTTCAGTCTATTCATACCATTTCTTATTTCTTGAACTTTCATAACCTTGTGGTTGGACCATATGCAGTTCTTGTTCTAAATCACCATGTAAGAAGGATGTCTTTACATCCATCTGTTACAAATGTGGATCTTCATCTGCTACTAAATTCAACACAAATTTTGATAGTTTTCATCATCACTATATAAGAAAATATCTTAGTGTAGTCAACGCCTTCCTTTTGTTGAAATCTCTTCACAACAAGTCTCGTCATTTATGTCCTACCATCATCTAATTCTTCTTTCAGCCTTTAAACCCTCTTGTGTAGTGCCTTTTTGCCATACAATAATTCTGTCAATACCCATGCCTAATTTGACATCATTGGCTGCATCTCATCATCCATTGCAAACTCCCACTTCTTTAAGTTTTCAACTCGATTGTCCTCATTATAGCACTCCAATTCACCACTATCAATTAACAATATATAGGACAAAGAATGAAAATATCTCTATAGGTAGTGTGATTCTGATGGATCTTCTAACTTCCATAGCACTTGTCTGAGGAACTTAATGTGTTTTACGATTTAAACATCTTTTCTTTCTTCATTTTTCTGATCACTAGTATTTTATATCTCAACATATTTTATGTGATCTTCAGAAGTAATTGTTGTGCAGAGTTTTGTTAATGTTTTTTGTGTATTTCCATTTCATTGAAAGTGACATCCTCGCTTCTAATGATTTTTTTTTTATTTTGATAGCCCCTAAATTTCTAATCAAATTAATCTGAGTCATGCCCAATGAAAGTGCACTTGACAGATTTGAATCAAGCTTATTTCTTGAATCATGTAGTAACATGAAAGTATGATCAACAATAAAATACATTTAGATGAGATAGATTTACCACTTTGTCACTCCAAGTTTTTTAAGGTAATCTTTCATGCAAGGATACCAATGGACCACATTTTATTAGATAAACTGTAGTAGTATTCACTACTTCTGCCCAAAAGTGTTTTGGCAAGTTTGCATGCAACCTCATGCTCTTAGCTTGCTTTGTGATGGCTTTATTTATACGCTCAATAATACTATTTTGTTGTGGTGTTTTTGAAACATTGAACTCATGTCTGATTCCCTCTGAAGCACAATAACGTTTGAACCTTGGATCACGATACTCATCACCATATCTCTATTTGATCCGAGACACTTCAATCTCAAACCTTTATCATTCTTAACCATGAATTTCCACTTAAATACACACACTCTTGTTTTTCTGGAGTGATCATCAATGAAAGTAACAATATTAAGAATCTCTAATAAACTGAATTGTAGTAGGGCCTCATACATCAATATTCATTAACTCCAACTTTTTGGACTTTAAAACCCACTTTTAGAGAAAGTAATCTTTTGCTTGCCATATGCACAATCTTCACAAAAATTTAAATATATAAATGTTCTTAGAAAAAAGGGACTTTTATTTTTCTCTCATATGACTAAGTCTGCATTGACAAAAACATGCATCAACCTTTGTTCTTGCAACTCTAATGAATTCAGTCATATCATTGATCATGTAAAACGTATCTTTAATATTGTCTTGAGCCATCATCAATGCCCATTTGATCACCTTCCATGAATCATCTGTGAAAGTAGTCACATAGTCCGACCTTGCAAGCTGACTCGTTAAAATTAAATTTCTCTTCAAACATGGACTATATTTAACTTCATTGAGCTTCCAGACTGGTCCAATTGACAATGCGATATCAATGCCACCCTTTCCCACAATACTGCAAGTCTTATTATCTCCCAAATAGACCTTCCCTTGATTACATTGAGTATAGTTTTTGAACACCTCTTTGTTGGAGCAAGTATGAAAATAAACACTTGAATCTACTATTTATGATTCAGTACCATCTAGGGATAAAATAAGGGAGTCATATTGAATTTCATATGTGGAGACATTTGTAGAGAATTTTCTATTCTGACCTTCAACACCAATCTTCTTCAGAGCTTTGCAGTTTTTCTTAAAATGACCTATCCTCCTACAGTTCCAACAGTCAAAATGATCTATTCTCCTGCAGTTCCAACATTCATATATGTTTTTTTCTCTCTCTGATCAGGATTTTCTTCTCCTAAACTTGGATCTTCTTTTGTTTATGTTTATATTCAGATTCCTTCATCTAGTATCAACATTCAAAATAGAGTTTGAAATTTCACCGCTCGCCTTGCGAACATTTTCATTAAGTATTAAACCCACAATACCATTAAAGTTTAACTTCATGTTACTTGAAAAGTTACTCATCGCAGTATCTAATCCATCCTTGCTATCCAACAATGAAGACGAGTAATAGTGTCATAACCATGTCTTCAAACTTGATGCCGACCGAATAGAACTGTTTAGTCATAATGATGAAGTTATTTGAGTGCTCAACCGCTAAGTTACCATCCATCATCTTTATATGAATAATCTCTTATCAGAAGAATTATCTGAAGTTGAAGGCTTCTCATACATTCTTGTTAGTACAGTCATAAGATCAATAATAGTCTTCACATTCACAATATTGAAAATAACAAATGAGGAAAGTGAATGTTGGATCAAACCTAGCGTTGTTCGATTAAGAACTTCACATTCTTCTAGAGCCATCAATTCCAGTTTCTTAGTGATTCCTTCCAGTGATATACAATTTCTTTCGCTACAATAAATCTTTAATTTGTGTTTTCCAAAAAAAAAAATGAAGTTCTAACCATTCTATATCTCCACCTTGTACCTTATTTCGTCGGCCATTGCTCTCATTCAAACCAAAGATATTCAAAATACTCTGCTATGATATTACTTGTCGAGAGAGATTGCAGAAATCGATTAGAGAGATCCAAAGCAAAACTTTGACCAGAAGCACACAAAATAAGAAATTACGGAAAACATAAAAAATACTAAGATTTAATGTGGAAAAAATTTAGAACGGGAAATATCATGGAGCCACACCTCACCAAGAAATTCTTTATAAAAAATGAGGAGAATTTTACAAATTGCACTACACTCAAGTCCATCCATAATTTGGAACTCAAGAACATCATTCTCTTCTTCCTCACACAGGAGAATTTTGAAATCCAACCCTTCGTCGCGCACAGATGGACACGGACTTCCGTAGTGAAGTTATAGGCTTAAAGTCCCGAGCTGCCAAAAATAGTTGTTGGCGCCAAAGCACCATTCCCGAGAACTGGGTTTGCAGGCGCTGGAGTTTAGGATCGGTCCAAGTGTGGCTGTGGCCCCTCCTGGGCGCCACAATTCCTTGCTCTCTGTTTTGGATGCACATTACTGGGTGCTTAGGCACCCAGGGCGCCACTCCAGACGCTGGGGCACTACTCTAGGTGCTAGGACGCCCCAACTTTCCACAATTAGGCTCCACATATATCACACCTGTGATTAAAATCTCTAAAGAGATGTATTTAGCTGTTTCTTTCAAACCCGTCAAGCATAAACCGATATAAAAATCGTGAATGGGCATATAAGATATTATTAAAAAAAATTAGTGTATTATTATCCTTTTTTAGATGATTTAGAGATTGTTTATGGTTATAGTTGGGTTGTTTTATCGATGTTGAGCCTAAAATTTCAGCTTTATTAGAAATCATTTCTGAATTTACAGCTGGAGAAAAGTCAAAGGCCGAAGTTGAGGTTGAGTTTGCATTTGAATGCTTTAAATTTGAATCAATGTGTTTTCAAACCTGCACCTATATTTGTGCAAGAGTTACAACCTGAATTTGAAGTTGAATTTGGTTCAGAATCTCTATGGAATTAGAGTTGAAGTTAATGCCTGAAACTAAATTTGAATGTAAGATATAAATCTAAACCTCAAATATAAACTACATTTAAAATTTACATGGAATCTAATTATATTTAAACCTCAAATTAGTAACCATGAATGTGAACTTGAATCTAACTATTACCATTCGCATTAGCTATTACCGCATTCTTGCACCACTTATTGGTGTTTTGTTGACTCGTGGCTGCGTTCCTAACTTTATATGTTATTGTTGTTACATATTCTCCTTATTGTTGCCTGTTGCCTCAGAGTTTTCCTGAAAGATGTATGGTTGGCTAAACTTGTTTATTCTTTGTGGAACATTATTCAACTTGGAACTCATGTATAGGATGTATTGAAACATGCTGCTATTATAGATATTTGTTGGTTGTAAACTTGTAATACTTATTTTTTGTGGCGTTCATTATATTTGACTTTCCTTCATTTTTATCAGTAGAAACCTTGTACATTTAAGAATGGCAAGAACCATAAATCGGTGGGCTTTTCCATCTTTTATTTCTCTTGCTTAATGCTCGCGTATCTGCCCTCGGAACTTAATTGTTAGGAAGATTTACATACATACCACCGAATTCTTATGTATTTACTTGTCCAACACCTAAACTTTAATTTTTACATTTATACCACCCAACCTATGCTTGAAAAAGTGTATTTCACCTTTTCAAAGTAAAACAGTGTTATTTTTTTTTTCTGATAATATAAATGTAAAAATTAAAATTTAGGCGTTAGATATGTTAATTCATAGGAATTGAGTGTTACGTATGTCCATGTCTCTAATTATTATTCCTATTATGTAATTATTGTACTTTTGGGCAAAATCGGTCATCATAGGAAGAACAGCAGAACGATGATGTTGAATCTGATGAAGAGGATGCACCTGAGATAACTGCGTGGGAATCAATAGCATGGCTTACTGTTTTGACTGCTTGGGTTTCTGTTCTTTCTGGATACCTTGTTGATGCCATAGAGGTATTGTTTTTGGTTAGTTTTTCTTTGTTATTCAATCTTTTCATTTTGGTCTTGAAACTTAATCAATAATGCACTGCTTAAAAACAAAATAATGATTTTTCGCGCATCAGATTTTTGATAAACTACAATATATAGAATAGCGTTACTACGTAGGTTTACAGGGCAGAATTTCATAGGAGTGACGAACATCAGAAGTATTGCTCTAAAACTGAAAACTACTAAATATTTCTGCACGGTCTTTGACGACAAATGGATTTGAACAGAGGAAAAATAATATAAATTTGAGACTCCTAATGAATATATAATATCTTGTCAGGGTAAATCCTCCCGTCTTTTAAGCACAATAAAATAAAGTCACAGTAAATTGTCAAAACTGAAACTCTTACATTTCATCATTTTCAAATGCTAGAGCCATGCATGATGCTGCAAGAAACCATCCAAAAAGACACAGGAACAAGCAATCTTACACGATTCGAGTTCTAACGTACTATATTTTCATGGGGCAGCCTCGATCTCAAGCTTTTTATTAATAAAAGTTGAACAGATACAATAGATTCATAGATTTTAATCTTAATTAAAAGTCAAGAAATAATTCTACAGCTAGACTTTCTTATATCAAGAAATCAGTACCCCTGTAAAACCTCATAAGAAAAAAAAAGGATAAATTATATCTCAATAACCCATAAATATGTTCAAAATGAGATGGATATTATACCAAAATACAAGCATCAATTAAACCAAGAGGAAGAAGAAGAGTATATACTGAAAAGTATTGAAACCTTTGCTCACTGTGAAACTCCTTGCAAAGGGTTGTTTGTCACTATTTAACTCAAAGAGTTTCTCACTGAAAGCCTTCTTACAAACCTCCAAAAACTGGGAGATTGGACAAGGATGCCCTGTGCCAATTTCAAATCATTGAGAATTTGATAAAAGCAAAGACTACGGGTTGGGATTTTATTGTGATTTTGATATTTAGGTGAGAATTTGAAAGATGGATGTAAGAAGCTGCTAGTTTTTTAAATAGCAATGTTTTGAGTGCCATGTAACTGCTTAACCTAAGCAGATTGAAAATTCGCCTGCTTCCTCAGAATGAAGACAGACAAGATAATAAAGGGAACTATCCATACAAAGGCAAACATGATAAATATAAACAAAGTTATTGGCATGTTTTAAGCATTAAATTCTTGAATTTTTATCTATTTATTCTTGAGAATATCCAGCTTTAATAGAAATGATAAATAAAGTACATGAAGAAGAGTTAGCAGCAACAATGCTCCTTTCTTCCATATCCCTATTTATCTCCCCTCTTTTTTTATGCTAAAAATGTTGTTAAAAATCTTTTTCAGCAGCTATAATTCTATCTGTCTGATACCTTTCTCTACTTTCTTCCTTCTTTGTAAGCTCTATAGTAAACAAATGCTGTTAAGATAAAAAATCATAATAAAAAAAAAAAAAAAAAAAAAAAAAAAAAAAATTCTGTTAAGATTTTATTTTATCGTTGGATTGTCCAACAGGGCGCTTCTGAAGCAATGAGCATGCCGGTGGCGTTTATCAGCGTCATTTTGCTTCCTATTGTAGGAAATGCTGCCGAGCATGCAAGTGCCATAATGTTTGCCATGAAGGACAAACTTGTGAGTATTTTAACTGTGTATTTATGCTCATAACCATATTTTCTGTTTCAATTTACATTCTTTTTTTTTTTTCTAGGATATCACGTTGGGAGTTGCAATTGGATCATCTACTCAGATATCAATGTTCCTGGTATTTCTCTAAAAATTATAGCTAGTTTTAACTTTATTCAATAGTTCTGTATCATCATTTTGTTTTTTAAGCAGTGGGTAAAATTTTTTTCTTTTTGAGTTCCATCTTTCTGTTTCCTTTTAAACAATTTTGTTGGCCGTTGCGTCATTTCTGAGATAGATTGTGGCTGCTCAATGTTCGGGTTTAATCTTTATATTTTTTACAGTTATTTAGTGGATGACAGGAATGTTTTGCATGTTGTGCGTGCTTTTCAGTGATGGAATTTTGTATTTTATCTTTGCTCTATCCATTTGATGAATAATACATTTGCTTAAATTATTGCATTTGTTTGATTTCATAAATCTATAATACATGTATTGTAGGAATTACATGTCTATTCGACTTATTTTGTTTAAATCGAGTTGTTTGTCTGGATGTAAAATAAATGCAGTAAGATTATTTTTATGATCTGGTTGGTGTTGAGTAAATTCAACTTCATGTTTAATAATATAATATGAAGTTTAAAATCCGCTACTTCAAACTAACTGACGGGGGTGCGGGAGTTTCCTACACGATTGCGGGAAACTAGCTAGCGGGCTGAACCGGCTGGCATAGTGGGCCGGTCTAGAGGACTAAGGTGCCATTCGCTGTGACTCTTTGGTTGACATCTGCAAAGATAGTTCTATGTCCCCTGGGGTCACATGTTCGAGCCAGCCTGAGTGCATTTGCCTTGCAGCGCGGGATCAAGTGGTTAGGTACATGAGGGTGGCTTGGGGCGCATATCATCGCTTTCGATCATTCTTTATTTTATATATATATATATATATATATATAAACCCTAAACAATATATTAATATATATATAAATAATATTTCAAGTAATGAATATAAATTAGTATATGAAATACAAAATCAAATATGTTAAAATGTATAAACATCTAATAGTTTAATATTTTTTCTAAGAACATTGCTATGTATAAAATACTTTTGGTGGGTGTTAGCTTGCACAGATCTGCGATTCGAACCTCATATATGTCCATAAGTTTCATCCAACGATCTTTGGGTAAAAAAATTGCATAAAATACTTTTGCCATTCCATGATTTGCATTTTTTATTTATATTTAAGTTGTATTTATGTAAAGATGTCAGTTTAGACATGCTTTATTGGAATTATTAGACACATTAACTTTCCAACAAATAAATTATAGAAAATAGGAAGCTTCACTTCTCACTTCCCTATAGGAGAAATTATTACTTGCTGGTAATGGACATGCGAATTGGTAATATTGTGGTGGTATTATGGTGATCACAATATGACCACAATAAGACAAAATCCACACCTACACAGTCCACACATAATATTTCTTCGACAACAAACTAAATCATCTTATAAGCGTCCTCAATTTCGCTTCTATAAGTGGAAATTTCTCACTTATGTGCAACCAAAGAGGCATTGATTTCACTCCAAATAAATGTTGGGCGCAGCTTGCATAACGTGTATGGTGAAAAACCCTTTTAAGTATTTATTTATTTTTTATTGATATACTGTTTGAATTAGTTTCCATTAACAGACGCAATATTTGTGAGTAATGTGACTCTGATAATGACAGATTCCTTTCTGCGTGGTAATTGGTTGGATCATGGGAAAGGAGATGGACTTGAACTTTCAGTTATTTGAGACTGCTAGTCTGTTCATCACAGTACTTGTGGTCGCTTTTATGCTGCAGGTATAAGTTCATTATATATTTTGACAGGAGAAAAATGTCATAATGGTCCCCTAACTTTTTGTAGGATGTCATTTTAGTGCCAGAGTTTACAAAAGTGCCTATATGGTCCCCATACTTTTAAAATATGGGCTGAGATAGCCCCCCATAGAAGGATTATTTTTAACCCTAATTAAAAGCGTCCGGGACTAAAATGACCTCATATAAATAATCAAGGACTATTTTGGCATTTTACTCGTTTTCACAGTTATCTTTCAATTTGGCATTTCATTAAACCTATAAACTTTTTTTCCTCAAAAGTAAAATTTTCTTATCATCAACAATTGTTCTGTAATGGATTGGCCATAATATGTTTGGCAAACTTTTTTACTGAAACAAGGCTGTACTTAAAATTGTGCCACACTTTCACAATTTCTTTTTTTAATCATCATGGTTGGCATGATCTTCATGTTCTGGGAGAAATGTGAATAAATGCAGAAACCAATTTGATTTATTCAAAGCAAACTTTGAACAAAAATGCACAAAATAAGAAAACTATAGAAAACAAAGAACACAAGATTTAAAATGGAAAAAACCCCAGAACATAAAAAACCATGGATCCACCCTACATGAAGAAATCCACCATAAAAAAAATGAAGAATTGTACACATTATATCACACTCAAGCCTCTCCAAGATTTGAAACACTTTATGACGTGCCTTTCCTCTCATTTGCACAAGAGAAATTGAAACCATAGACATTCCAATAGAAAAACCAAGACTTCAATCGGAGAACGACTCAAATTCGGTAACTGGCACAGGGACACTGCGATAATGGTGTTGGGATGCTTGAACTGGTGCTGCAGTGCTGCATCCGAGCACTACCATGTTGTACTCTCGGGTTCTGAAACCTAGATTGGGTGCTGCTGCACCATCTTCCGGGCAATGGTCCGACGCTCGGGTGCTACTTGTCCGGGCGCAGGGGCACCCCCGGTGCTCCCCTGGTAAACTCACTGTCAAACATGATCGAAAAAAATGAGGTCTTTGAGTGACTAAATGATTAACACAATCAGGCTCCTCACAATAACTCTTTATTGGGACTTTGTCCATGAATATCAAGATTTGAAATAGAAGAGGGCACTTATATAAATAGCACTCAAACTTTCATATTTACACATATGTACGACCCATCCTATGTATTTACACATCTAACCCAAAATTCTACTTTTTACATTTATACCGCCCACATCTTTCATATCACATTATAAATACTGCAAATATAACTTCTAAAAAGTGAATACACCTTTTCAAACACAGGTAAGGTGGCATATATGCAAGAATTGAGGTTTAGGCATTAGATATGTAAATATATAGGAATTAAGTGTTATGTATGTAAATATTTTTCTTTTCCTGCCTAGCAGAGTGAAGATTTCAATTTGAGATGTCATGATTTCTTTCATATTTGAATAAAAAACTAGTAAAGTGTCAAAATAGTCTCTTGACTGTTTATTGTGGTCATTTTAGTCCTAGTCTATAAAAATGCCAAATTAGTCCGAAAATTTTTAAATTGGGGGACTATTTCATCCCGAGCCCATATTAAAAGAAGCTGCAAACAATCAGGTCACTTCACTTGATAAAAAACTGCATGCAAAATTTTTTACGTTCTAATTTGATTTGCGATTGGATGGTAATGTGCATGTAAAAAATATGTTTTTTTGTGTTTGAAGGCAAGGTTAAAGAAAAATAACCTATATTGAGCTTTTTGATAGTAAAGGGAATTATGTAGTTCTATGCTTACCTGCGAGTTTTTGGTTGCAGGAAGGTACCGCCAACTACTTCAAGGGGCTGATGCTTATTCTATGCTATCTTATTGTTGCTGCCAGTTTCTTTGAGCATATTGATCCTAATTTCAGTAAGTCCTGAAAAACCAAAGATGTGTTTTTATTTTGGATTGTTAGAAATTTGAAAGAATACCCTAGTTTTAATTTGGAAGTTAGTTTGTTGCATGCTTTTGTATGAAAGTGAACCAAATCTTCACACAGTACAAATCCTCGTGAGCCAAAGTTTCTCTACAGTTTAGAAACAACAACAAGGGGCAATGAGTGAAATCATATCTTCTCTTGATTACTATTTTATTTTTACTTCATAATTTTATATTGGGTGTTTCGTTTAAATGTAACTAATAGTAAATTTGATTTACCTATGAAATTTTAACAAATACTATATATATATGCGTCGCGTACTCAGATCAGTTGGTCGAGCATTTGCTTGCCAGTTGTAAGTCATCTTTTCTCTGGAGTTCGATTCCTCCCGAGTGTAGGGTGTGGTACTCGAATCTTAGGCGCATGAGGGTTGACAGGGGGTCGTATAATATCCTCCGGCCATTCCTACAATATATATATATATATAAAGAAAAAAAATTAATTTCTCTTTATTCAATTTAAAAATAAAAAACATTATTTTCATTCAATTTCTCTATCATTTTCATCATCATTTTCTTCTTTCTAGTTCTTTCAAAACAAATATAGCCTCTGAGAAAACCACGAGGAAAGACCCTCTGAGAAAAAAAGGAGAAAATAAAAATGAAAATGTATGCCTTTTCCTGTATTCAGTGGATGACAAATGCTAAGGCAAAATGTTAAGATCATGATGCAAATATCATTCTGATATTGTCCTACTCTTTTAAACAAATTGCCTAAATCATATATGCACTACTGATCCTTCCAAATTTTATTTGCATTTTTGTTCAACAACATTACACATTTGTTCCAATCTTCCCTTTTTATTTATTTTCAGATAACAATTAGAATTCAAACACCAATGCATCGTCCAGTTTCACCACAGCAATGTTTTGATGCGCGGAACTAAATTCTAAGGGAGTTTATCAGCTCAGATTTCAGCTCCCTGTAAAAGAAATTATACTGCACAGTTCTGCGAACTACTTTTTACACAATTTTGTTGGGAGCTGCTTTTGGTAATTTATTTACAGCAAAGTGATCTTTTTTACATGTTAGAGTTAAGAATTGTTCAGGTGATTAAGGTCAATATTAAGAGTGTTGTGTTGTTGAGAAACATTAAGAATATTAATTATGCAAGCTACAAATTTGCCTGTTTGTCTACACCTTGTATATGTAATATGGCATCTTGGTTGCGGAAGAATGTTGTAGTCATGAACATAAACTCTTCAATGATGTAAAACATAAATATGGAAATACAACCAGTGCCTGCAGGATGCATGCCGGTGATTTGTGTTTGGAAAATTTTTATGATGATGATTTATGTTTAATCATCATTATGTCAAAATGTATGAATGAAATAATTTATTTTAAATTTTGTATTAATAATATTTTTTATTAGATGTTAAAATTTTTGTTTGTTATATGAAGTATATGTTGAAGTTTAACGGCGTAAAATTGAGTGTTATGGGCGTAAAATTGAACGTTAATGTGTTCTATATGTAAATATCAAACTTTTAAGTGCTATGTTGGTAAAAAATCCCTAAAAATTTAAGTATTAATCATTATATAAATATATGAGTCGTTGGATATGCATGAAAATCTCCCCCTTTTTGTTGGTGAAAAAGCGCTTATTCAAATAAATCTCTAGCAGTAAATTTATGCAGCATTTACTTACATATCACCTAATTCCTATTTACATATCAAACACTTAAAATTTGTTTTTTTACATCACGTCAAAAATATCACCACTAACTCTTAAAAAGGTGAAATACACATTTTCAAGCATCTGTTAGGTGATATGTTTCTAAAACTTGAAGTTTAGGCATTAGATATATAATATATAGGAATTGAGTGATATGCATGTAAATCTTCCTAAATTTAGGGTCTCTTTGGGACAGCTGTAGCTTATTGAATAATTTGTTGATAAGCCAGGTTCTGTGGCTATTACAAATTTTTATTTTTTTAGAAAAGTAATACCGTTGCCAATAAGCTCCCACCGCACTTAAATAGATGCAGCGTGAAAACGCTATTTTCTGCGTTTTGAAAACGCATAAGCTGCCAAAACACAATTTATCCAAACAGGCCAGATGCATTTTCAAACGCCACCGCACCAAATAAGCTGCCCCAAACGGGCCCTCAATATGATTTTGCTATTACTGAAAGTAAATATCTATAGCTTCCACAGGATTAATTCCATATTTGTTCACTAGTCTTTCAATTTATAGGCCCTCAAATTTTAGAACACACCATCTTAATTAATGCATTTACCTTCACAATATAAATTTTCAGAAATAACAGAAACGCATAAAAAATAAAAAAAAATTTAAAAAAAAAAGAAAATAAAATAAAAAGAAGACATTCCTATAGTGTAACATGCCCCCTTGTTTTTTTTCAATTTCCTAACATTCAATAATTCAGTTTATCTTAAATCTCATTAAATCATTATTAAAAGAAAATTATAAGAAAAAAGGTATTAAATTAAAATATAAAAAATATCAATGCCCTCTAATTTAATTTCATTAAATATATAACTGCCAAATAATTTAAAAGATATTATGATACAATTTGATGCGTCAACAGCTTCATAAGCTTAAAAAACTTGTATTAAGCAAAAATGAAACATAAAATGGTATGCAGAAGAAACAGCTGAAGATCCTGAACTAGGCCACAAATATCTCAGCAGATGGTTCTCTCAAGGTTCTAGAAACCAACTTATCATAATCCTGCAAAGATCAATAGTAGCAAAGCAGAAATAATCATTATATTGGATAAGATTTTTGTTAAGTGTTTTCGAGATAAAATGCTTAATCATAAAGCTGGCCTCTGGCATTCAAACTGAACTAGAGACAGACCGCTGGCCTCTGGCATTCAAACTGAACTAGAGACAGACCATATAGTAAATGTTACCACAAGATAAATTACATATAGTAAATAATTTTACAAGAGGCATTTATATAGATACCGTCTTTCATACCCACATAACAAATATCAATATTTTAGCTTTTAAAAAGTGAAATAGATCTTTTGATGCATCACACACACACACACACACACACACAGATATATATATATATATATATATATATATATATAAATTGAAGTTGGTATGTAAGCAAATCTTAAAAAAAAAAAAAATGCTTATTTGGTTGATGATAAGCTATGTTAGATATGTCGATAAATCTAAAGCTTGAGCGGGATTTAAAAAATATGGTGGAAAAAAAAATGTCAGCTCTAAGTTGAGATAAATTGAGAAAAATATTTGGTTGTTGTATCCCCTAAGTGCGGGCTCCGAAAATTTATTGTCTGGCCCCCTAAAAAAAATGACTAGAGAGTTTATATATATCAATATTAACCTCTAATGCTATATCCAGCTTACTGATGTTGTTAAGGAAATAAGTATAGAAAAGCCAGCTTTATTATATTAACTTTCCCATATTTTTTATCCTCCAATCATGACATATTGTTTAAATAATATGACGTTTCTTCGATTAAAAAATAATAAAAATGGGCAATCAAGTCCTAAATAATTGCGTTAAAATTTTATAAAAAAATAGTAAATATTAAATATAAAACTTTGCATGATTGACTCTAAATCGATTATGTTCTCTTTTCATTGTCTCACAAAATACATTGAGTTTGGACTCTTCCCCTTTCGGAGATTAACTACGGTTTATAATTGACAACATCGACCCCATGTGATGGCCCGAGACCTTGACATTAAATCTAGAAATCCGATCACATTTTAAAGTTGCCAGCTCAATGTCGGCTCTTCATACAACTAGCAACTTACATGTAGTTACTGAGAATTGTAATAGCAAACTTGACACTCTTTGTCATGATCACTGACCTCTAATCCGGCTCTTTGCATGAGCTACAACAACCATCTTTAGTTTTTAACACCTTGTTAACCTCCATATTAATCATCAATAAGTAGCCCTCCTCTTCTCTCTTTTCAAATAATAGATTTGGTATCAATTTTCTTTCAGTTAATATGATAGAAGTTTGGTGAAATTCTAAATATCCATGACTTTTAATTCAAATGATTATATTTACTGGGACAGCTTTTTATTTATGATTATTTGGGGTGTTATGGTCATTATGATTTATGGCTACTAACTGATCCATTGATGATTGCCTAAGGTTTTTAAGATATAAATATTATAATAACATTTGATATGTGTCTCGCACATTTTTTTTAATAAAAGACATGTCCTGCATTCGTGGGCATATTGGAGCATCCCAATCAAAGAAACTTAAATAAAAATGTGCAGCTTCCTCCTAAAGATGAAGCATAATTGAGTTGCCTACGAACATAACAATAAAAAAAAATGAAAGGGCTTATATTTTGGAACATCGAGTACTCAGGTCATCGAAGAAGTTCACCAAATTATGACTGTGTTGCACGAGGAGAATGTTATGGATGCCAACTGATAGAACATATGGCGAAATTAGATCAGCTGCGGATCCTAAGGATTTATAATTCAAATAATTAAGCGCAAGCGAGACGTTACAAGGAATGTATGATATGAGAATTGCTGAATCAAAAAAATAGAAAAAGCTATAGGATTGATGACTCCCGAGTGGGAGCCACTTGAAGCTAGGACTAGCAACACCATGGAACTACCCATCTTAAAGACCACAATGGAGACGAGGCTCCCTATTCCTCAACAACTAGAGGGGTAATTCTTAGAGTGGACTGACAATGTTCTAAAGAATGCCTTGAAAGGACAGGACAAGGGAATGGGACTTACAATACCATCCACGATAAGTGTCCAATGAATCTAATGCAAGTAATTAAAATATAAGAGATTAATCTTCCACTATTTGAGAAGATGATCACAAAAAGACCTACAACCTAACCAGGGGATATTGAGACGCCCAACAGTAAGTCTTATATCCGCCAGATAGGGAATTCCTCTAAAATTCACTTCTGAGAATTTTAAAACCATGTTGCTTAGGTCTCAATGTCGTACAAGATAGACTAGTTGGCAGGAAATGGGTCTTATAATCTTTCCTTATATGCAAGATGACCCGACATGAATATAAATATGTATGCAAATGATGATAATAATATTAGTAATCTACATGAAGAGGTGTGCTTAGCTTCTTGTGCTTAGGACATGTGCATTAAGCGCGCCTAAGTTGAGCAAGCTCAAAAAATTGTTCAAGAAGTCATTCAGTGCTGAAGCCAGAATATAAGTGCATGCGAAACAGGAAGCTAAAGAAGAGATATATTGCTGATCCTTAAAATAACATCACATTAAAATCATATTTGGCCTATAACTACCATATTAAAAGTAGCATATCATGATTGCAGTTCGATCATTTGTTAATTAAAATGAGGTGTACAATAAGTCATTATTCATATCCTTTTTCTCATTCAATAAAAATCATTCTCTCATATTTGTTTGAAAAACACTCATATTTATTTGAAACACATCCAAATTTGAATACGTTGATTCAGCAATTTCTAATAAAAACACATCCAAGTTTGAATTCGTTGATTCAACAATTTCTAATAAAAACAAAATATCACATGCATCATCATTATAGTCTTATCCCAACAATTTGGGTCCGCTTTATAAATCACTATTCATCATTCTTTTTTATCAAGTTTTGCAATTTGTGTTTTCTTGTATATAAGTTTTTTTAATAGCAGCACAGTACATGCAACATCTACATTAGATATTTGCATTTGAGGTTTGAAGAAGAAATCGAAATATGTGCTTACCTGGACAATGGCATTTGCGCAAAGCTTACCAGATAAAACAGCACCTTCCATAGAGGCTAAATACTTCTGCTTTGTGTAATCACCAGACAAATAGAACCCTTCAATAGGGGATCTTTGTAATGGGCGACATGGTTCACAGTTTGGAACGGTTTTGTAAACAGATCTGTCAAAGCATGGTGTACGTCGATGAACAGCATTTAACCAAAGTTTAGAAAACTTCTGGTTTTCTAATTTAGAAATAACAGTAGTTTGATAGTCGTGACAAGAAGTTATAATTATAATAGTCATGAATAGTGAGAAAATATTAGCAAATGTCATATCAATACACTGTGTACAGAGTTTAATGGTCATTATTGCAGTCTGTACTGAGATGAAAAGAAAAAAAAAAATATCTGCATGCTACGCATGCATAAATCTTTGCTTTAAATGATTTAACTAATTAACATATTTCTTAATACAACTTTTATGTGAAACAGTCTAAATTTCTCAAGCTTGTTTGATTCTGTAATTTACCATATTTAATAGCAGTTATATGTTAGCTTATACTTACCAAAAACTAGAATCCTATTACAATTTCTTCATTTTAAATTTATTTCTGCACAATTTTTGGTTGAATTCATAATAAAAAAGGGCATACAATTGTATGAAATATCATTTTGTGATTTCGGAAGGGGTTGATGTATGCAGCCTTATATAATCTAATCATTTCTTCAAGCCTCTCCTATTTTTTGTAAATTCATCCTTAGAATAAATGTTGACGCAGAGTTTCTACCAGAACAGCGCCTTATATTCTAAAGAGAAATACTCGAACATATTTAATTTATGATTTTAGAACTCACCTTGGTGTTTTGACAACATGATACTTCAAAATCTTTGCTTTACTCTGATCAGCAGCAATTTCGTCAGGGAATAATGTTTCCAACTCTTTCATGGTAGCAGCAATAATGTCATCATCACTACGTGATATCCATTCTTCTGCTGGCGCGAAGACTAACTCGAGCATGGATCGATTTGGATCATAATACTCCTGAATGAATAAAAAACAAACAGTGAAATCACGGCCGTAGCTCCCAAAAGAAACTAGTATCCCGAATAACCTTGTTAACATTACAGGTGCATATTTTTTAAGGAATACAGGACAAACTTGAAAAGGTTACAATAGCAATTTTTTAACTAAAATAACTTGTTAACATATTTAAACCAATGATAATAGGCAGATTTATGAATCACAAAACTTAGTTTCATATAGCAGTGACAATGTTTTTATTTAAGGCCCAATCATTCAAAGTTTGGAATTCTCAATACTTAGAAAATGCTGAATACTAGAAAAATACAAATAGAAGATATTTTCACTCAATACAAGTATAATGCTCCGAAAACCCAGCAATTCTTAAAGGGTTTCTCTAGATCAGTCAATACTTAGGATAATATTATTAGCTTCAACCATGAAATTTTCAACTCATGTTAAAATGTTTAAAGAGGGCACACTCAGTTTGTGAGGTTCACATCAAAGGCAGCCAGCATAAGTGGTTCAAAGCTTTTAAACATTAGAAATTAAAAATATATCAAGAGCTTTATAGGCAGAATGAATTCCACAGTAAACAGCGTCAGTGCCACTAAGTTTCAAAATATTTAGAGATTAGGTACTATATTTATTGCTAATATGAACCGAACACAGAATATTTGTAATAACAGAATCTTGTAATAATAGAATCTTGTTACCTTACATGTTACAGACATGTCTGCATAGACACTCAAAAGAGGGCTCCTGAAAAACAAAATGACTAATTAAATGCATTCAAAACTCTACACAAAAGCATGAGACCATTTACAATGGCACTAACATTTGGTAAAATAAATAGTTCCTGTTAGAGAAACAGATGAGAATGCTGCCAAATTTTAAAATTCATTGAATTGATAAATCCTTCATTTTCAACAAACGGATACTTTCATTTATCAAGGTTAGGCTTATAGCATGAGATCTAGTGTGAAGATAAATATTCTGAAACCGGATAATTTCATAGGAGAAGCATGAAGTTTTCCTACTACGGGTATTTGACAAGTTCTTTAACTACAAGAGATTGTATAAAATGTCAAGAAGAGAAACCTAAATCTGCAAAGCAATTTAATTTGCACGAGTAATACAGACCTGCTAAACAAAAGATGATCGTATGTGTTCTTCAGTTTCCTATCAAACCTGAGAAAAGAGGTTTACAGATGAAAAACGTCACAAACAATTCAAACTATTGACCAAAATAATTCTCGCTGTTAACAAGGAATGTACCATAAATGAACATTAATCACTGGGACTCCTACTAATTTATTCAATCTTTGGAAGTATGGCATTTCTTTCCACTCCTCAGGTAAAAGAAGTTTCAAGATATCAACTGAGAATTGCCAAAAAGATTTTATTTCAAAACTGCAGATTCAAAATTCACAGAACAATTTCAGAGGCAGATTCAAATTCACAGAACAATTTCAGAGAAAAAAAAAAAAAAACTTTTGAAAGCAAAAGTTATACCAGGAGTGGCAAATACATAAGCATCTCCGGTGATAACACATCCGTTGCTCAGCACAAATTGCTTAACTGTTCCATCAGAATTCAACTCAATCTTTTGTACACGAGAATTCAGCTGGACTTGTCCGCCTAGTGACTCAATGTGTTCGACAATCGGCTTGCATAGCCTCTCAGGAGGATTACCATCTAGAAAGGCCATCTTTGACCCGTCTTTTTCCTGATTAAAAAAAAGAAGACCATCTGGGTAATTGATAATTTGGATCATCTCTTATATTAACATATTATATCTATAGAGGTAACAACTACTTAGATGTTTTCAAGATTGTGAAAATGAAATAAAACGGTAAAATCATACCTGAAGAAAACGATTTAAAGCAATCAAAATGCACTGCATTGAAAGCTCATCTGGATTGATGAAATTGAGAGCTTTTGACATGGCAATGAAAACCTCATCATTGACTCGATCGGGTACACCCTATAAGAATAAAAACAAATAGTTTCTTATTTTTTATACCCCAAAAAAACATATATTTGTTATGTTAATATTAAAATGAAATGATATTAAGCGTCAAAATTTTATAAACAACAAGAGACGAATAAATGAAGTATGCTGCACCGAATGATTACTTAGCATCAAAGTTTAAATTCTACTGATTACATCTGCATCATTAATTTACAACCATAACTTTACTAGAATAACTGCATTACAAGAATAATATAAGATTACAAAACCTGCCGTTTCATCCACTCTTTAACTGTTAAAATATCCTGAGCCTCAACATAAGACTGCCCTCCAACAATGGCTGGCAAAAGTCCAATAGCAAATTTCACTTTTTCTGACCAGGTCAGCATTTCATTGTTCTTTAAGATGGCCCATATACCTACCATTCACATCCTCAAGCATTTAGTAATAGACCAAATAAGGAGAACAGAAATGTCAGATCCATATATTATTCGAGAATGATATGCTAAATGGCTAATATGTAAACTGAAAATGATTGATATTAAATTATACATAAATACCGCTACCCTTCCCCGTGTCCTTAAAGTTCCTTCATTGTAGCAAACAAAATATATACTAAAAATAAATGCTGTCATCAAAGGGAGCCTTTGGTTTTAACATCCATAAGAATATGCTCATAATAAATTGTGTTTTTTTGATGATGCAATAAAACATTATATATTTCTTATTATTGTTCAAAAGATGAAATATGAACAAAAAAACTATACTTTATTTTTGCTCAGTCTCAACTTATACTGGTCAAATATAGCATGTGCTAATTACAACTGGAAGTCATGCACACTCATTCAAAAGCAACCTGCAAAACCAATGTTTCCAGATCACTAACATAATGGAATGAAATTTAGACCTCACATATGTTTCAGCTTTTTTTTAATTCCTCAAACAAAACAACTCATTAGTTTTATATTGAAGGAATTGCATACCATTAAAGGGAGCTGGAAGGACCTCTGGAAAATCAAAGCGGCTGAATTCTCCTGGTTTGTTAGGCATTGCAAAAACCATGGAATGTTCCTTCCACTGCAAACGATCATTAATTCCAAGCTCTCCAAATAAGTTCTGAACGTTGGGATAAGCACCAACTACATTCCATAAAAAAGGAAGAATATCTTAGTTTCTTGTTCCAAATGCAATTATTTTACACGCAAAACTTGAAAAAACTACTAATTCAACTGTAGGGATGTGAAGAAAACTTATCACTCGGTTCTAAAATTGTGTAACCTAGGTAAAAATGCAAATTATCGTATATGTTGATCGCACCTAACTTTTATTTATTTATTTATTTATTATTTTTTCTTAGGTGATCACAACTAATTTTAACAAGGAGCAAATTGGGGACAGTTCCCATGTTCCTTCATCTATTAAGAAGAATGAAAAGAAATCAGCATCGGATATATGGCTACATTTTTTGTTTCTTCTTAGGTTTTAGAGTTTTTATGGGTTCTTATTAGTTGATCAAATTCTCTATCCTCTCCTACCTAACTTCATATCATAAATTCATATCACAAATGGTAAAAATCTAAAATATATTTTGGGGGTGGGGGGTGGGTACGGGGGGTAAACTTACACCTTTCATTAAGGTATGTACCACTAGGCTAGATGAGAAGAAAAGATAGGAGATCTCAAGACATGGCTTAGCTTAGATACATTAGAAGAGAAGAAAATCAAATTTTACGTACAGATAAAGACATCTAGGAAATTGAAGGGGATTTTGAATGAACCTTTAGAAGAGAAACATCAATAGAATTATCAAGAATTACAAGGAACAGTTTATAAAGTTAGCATATGGTTAGCACTAAGAAAGAGACAAGGGATAACAGAAGCTCTAATGAGATGCGTAATGAGATTAGGATGACTATGCAAAATATTAGAGTAGCTTGGTAAACAAAATGTTTTTTTTTGTACCACATATTAAGACTAGAATAACTATGCAAAATATTAGGGTAGCTTGGTAAATAAAATGTTTTTTTCCAGATCCTTAAAGCTAAAAGATGTCAAATGATTGGAAAAAAATCATCAATGATATCGATTATAAAAGATGTATGATTAAATTGGCTGTGAAATATGGATCACCCAGGAGTAGGGTTGTTGTTCGCGAATAGTTCGTGTTCGGTTCGTCAATGAGTTCTTGTTCGATTAGTTCGATAAGTAAACGAGACGAACGTGAACAAATTTTTTTCGTTCGGTTAGTTAAACGAACCAGACACAAACAGTGATGCGTTTGTTCGTGTTCGAATTATTATTGTTCGAAATATAAAATAATCTAAAATAATTATATATAAAAAATTTATGATATTTTTAAAATTAAATTTTATAAATTATAATATATAATAAATTAATAATAATAATATATTAATATACTATATTAGTAATATACTAATATAGCTATTATATATTTATATAATATAAGTTATATAATTAATATAACATATTATTTATATATATATTAATATTAGTGGTGTTAAACTGGCTCGTCGTTCGCAAACAGCTCGTGTTCGGCTTGAGTTTGGCTCGTTCGTTAAGAAACGAACACGAACAGTGACTTCACAAACAATTTCGAACACGAGCTTATTTCAAATAAACTAAATTTCAAACGAACCGAGCACGAACACAAGCTTTGTTCGTTCGTGTTCAGTTTGTTTACACCCCTACCCAGGAGAATAATAAAGACTCACTTATAAACAAGCTGTGTGCCACAATGAGAATGCTATTAAAGATGTGTTGTAGAACTAGAGTAAAATGAAAAAAAAAAAAGTAAAATAAAGATGCTGGATGTAGCATCGATTGAAAAATACAATAAGTGGAAAATAGACTGGAGTGATTTCAGCATCTACAATAAAGTGCAAATGATGCATCAATAAGATTGATATTCTTGATTAATATGTAAAAATGGGAAAAAAAAAAAGATAAGACATAATATGGCTAAAAATTCTGTTTATAAAATTGAGGAAAATATAGTTCACACATGTAACACTCAACAAAAATAAATGGACAAAGATGATTCATAAAGCTAACCCGAAATAATTTGAATAAGTTTAATGTTGATAATGAAAACCAAAAAAGAAAGTACATATTTGCTGCAAAATTCTCTAACCATTAGTAACAATTATTGATTATTACTTGGATAAAAGAAGAATTATAAAGGTGCATGTGGTTTTACATAAAAAACTGCACCTCTAAAATTCATTTATATCTTTATTAGTATATGAAAGTCAAAAGCAGGAAAACAATCTAGGATCTCAGGATATGTATCTAGAGCACAAGCAGCCATGGATAACATACAGAAAATATGGAGACCAGTCTCATAAAAATCTCCATCTTCGTCTTTCCAAGCAGCAATCTGAAACAAAAAAGCAATCTTTATTATCATTTATGGATCTACAAATTTACTAAACGAAATTACACTTTTTTCTTTTCCGTCCACCGATCAGTTAAATGCATTCTCTAGTGATCTCCAACAGCAATTCATCTTCGGCTTGTGCTCGCAAGCCTGCTATCATTACTGCAAGCCGAGCTCAAATTAAGCATAACTCAAGCTCACCCGACTCATCTACACCCCTATTGGTACATACGATACATAGCAACATAGCATCTGCTATATGTAAAGTATGTCCAAACAAAAGTAGACAAAGCACAATCACAGAATGTGAGCATAATAAGTAGGTTTTCCAATGGCATCTACATGTTATAGAAAACAAAACATGGATAATATTCACAATAATCTAACATAGTATGAGCATGGAGGATTAAAAGTGAAAAGTTTCACGCTCTACTATAAATTCTCCTAGGACTAGTTATGATAACTCCCAGGAAAGTTGACTTTAGCTTAGTAGCTTTTTAACTAAAATAAACTGAAAGGCTGGATATTAAACATAAAAATAATCTGAATGTGTTTTTTACCAAGTAGAAGTACATAATCATGTATATATATATATATATATTGAAGAAAAAATAGGACCGCTTGGCACCTCAAAAAAACCAAGAACTATACTGCGGAACATCTGAAGAAAACCAAGAACTGGACTGCCGAAAAAGAAAAAACAATAAATGTCAAACACAATCTTGACAGCCGAAGAAGAGTGAAACCATAGCAAGCAAGAAAACAGGGAAAATAAACGAAAAACCGCAACAAAGATAATAAGCAAACGAGAAACAAAAACACCCAAGAATTACGTGGTTCGGTCCATAGGACCTACATCCACGGGAGTGAAATCAACCATCAAATCCACTAAGGCAATAAAAAAGAATTACAAGGCTTTTACATTGAGGAATGAACACTCATCTTGTCATGATCTCTCTCTCGAATCTCCTCGATACAAGATCTCCAAGATCAATGAGCTCTCATCTCGCCATGATATCTCTCTCGAATCACCTCGATACATGATCTCCAAGATCCTCTCTCTCAATTCTTGAAGCCTCTCCTCTTCTTTCTCTTATCAATTGATTTGTTTTCCCTTGGGTCACCTCTCTACAAGCCCCCCTCACTATTTATAACAAATGAGCCTTCCACAAGTAGACCCGGTTCACCAATTGGAAGTTTCCATAATTCTTTAATAGCTTTGATAGAATTACAAGTCTGCCCCTTATCTTAGTTTAGTAATTGTGAGTTATTGTAACAATTCTCCACCTTGACTCTCAATTACAAAATCTTGAATAGAGATTCTCTCCACCTAGCCCCGAGGGGCCCTTAGCCCTTGCTCTTCTTTCCATGTCTCGATCTTAATTTGTTCTGACCGTTTCTTGAATCTTTCTTGTCCGATCTTCCTCTCACGACGAGACCATCTCCGCTAATTTCCTCATTCATGTCAGCCGTGAGCCCTATCCAGGATGTCGTTCTTCTCTTTCTCGGACATCTCGACCGACAATGACGCCGGCCCTTGCAAAGCTTCTGCAACACTTTGTTGCACCAATAGAGCTCTCATCTTGACACTCCATAGGCCGAAATCATTCTTTCAGGTGAATTTCACGAGGTTAAATTTGGCGGTTCCCATTGTCGTGGCTAGGTTTCCCACAGACGACGTCAATTGTTGAAGAAAAAAATAGATGGAACTACCAATTCCCTTGAAGAAAACCAAGAACTGGACTGCCAAATAGGAAGAAACAATAAATGTTGAACACCTCCTTGATTGTCGAAGGGGAATAAAACTGCAGCATGCAAGAAAACAAGGAAAAGAAACGAAAAACTGCAGCAAAGATAATATGCAAACAAGAAACAAGGACACCCAATAATTACGTGGATCAGTCCATAGGACCTACATCCATGGGAGGAAAATCAACCATCAAATCCACTAATGCGATAAAAAAAAATTACAAGGCTTTTACATTGAGGAACGAGCTCTTATCTTGTCACGATCTCTCTCTCAAATCTCCTTGATATAAGATCTCCAAGATTAATGAGCTCTCATCTTGCCATGATCTCTCTTTCGAATCACCTCGATACAAGATCTCCAAGATACTCTCCCTCAATTCTTGAAGTCTCTCCTCTTCTTTCTCTTACCAATTGATTTGCTTTTCCTTGGGTCACCTCTCTACAAACCTCCCTCACTATTTATAACAAATGAGCCTTCTACAAGTAGATCCGGTTCACCAATTGGAAGCTTCCATAATTTTTTAATAGTTTTGATAGAATTAAGAGTTTGCCCCTTATGTTAGTCTAGTAATTGTGATATATATATAAGATAGATAGAGAATCCTGTTAGTCCTTTTGTAGGTATAACTTATCATAAACATGCCGAAAGATGCAACTCCTTTAGAAACTTCTGAGCCTACGAAAGGCAAGTTGTTGACAAGTGCAATACTTTACTAAATTAGATTCATACAAAAAAGATAGATAACATAATCTCTTTACAGATTTAGTTGGAGCACAGCCAAAATAAAATTGAACAGACCTTTTAAGCACAATAAGAATTTACCTTTCCTCCCAGAACATCTCTTGCCTCTAATAAAATAGGTTTGTGGCCAGCATCAGCAAGGTATTTGGCTGTTGATAGACCAGCCAACCCTCCAGAAAGAAACAAGATCAAATCAGCTTCAACAGAAACACAAATAATCCCACCCTTGACAAGCACCATTACCTGCACCAGCAATTACCACTTCTAGAGGTTTCTTGGGACGTAAACAGTCACGAAAGGATGAAGATAGCTTCGCAGCTTCTAAGAAGTTGATAGTGCTTTCAAGTTTAGGTCTTGGACAATCCATGCAGAAAACCTGCACATATAGATATGGATATAGTCCTTTTGCGCGTATATTTACTGAAAAACAGCCATCTATACTAAATTTTTTAAGAGGACCTCCAAGGAACCATTTTTAGGACTTGATTTCATTTTTGAAAACTCTGGAATTGGAACTTCAAATATGCATCCCACGTAATCACTATTTCTTGATGCCCTTAACTTGTTCCATCTAGGATCCGTATCAATTGAACATCTTCTAACAGGACTTGCATCCCACAAGCTTTTCTTATTGATTGCAAAAAAAGGAGGGCCAGCAGAAATAAATCCAGTAAGATTCATATTCGGAACGCCCATAAGCAGTTCTACAGGACGCGGTGACTAAAGTTCCACCAGCCTAAGAAAACAGATATCAGATAGCAAGCAACTATCAGTTACACCACTCTACAAAACCATTAATCAAATCCAAATTACACAATAAACCAGTATCAGGATGATGACTATAAAAATTAAAAACAACTCAAGTTGAAGGATTTAAGCATTACAAACTGGTTGCAGCTTAGAACACATGCAAGCGAGCACAATTACAAACTCGATACTAGAAAACAGGGCAACATGCTAAAATCGAAAAAAAAAAAATTTCATCAAAACAGTAGGATATGCATGTCCCATCTTCAAATGATGTTGCTTTTCTCATCCAAAGCAGACATTAAATTGAACTCGTAGAATGAGTAAATATTGGCCATAAACCACCCCAAAAAGAGGACGGAGAACCGATTCTTACCAATTTCACATCGATAATGATGCCTCGACCGACATAGCAAGCATGCTGGAGTTGGGTGGTTCCTGAGATTAAAAAGCGCTGAAAGAGAGAGCCTGGAGAGAAGGCTTTGGAAGCTCAGCGAGAACAGGGTTATGCGATTTCTTACAAAAAAAAAAAATTTTAAAAAAGAGAGAAATTAGCAGTGGGGAGTTTTTGCGGTTCGGCGAGACGGCGACTGCCGTCCGAAGAAATATGTTATTGCGTGCGGACGGCGTGCGCCCTCCAATCAAAAAATTAAAAAAAAAAATTAAAAAATTAAAAATGGGCTCACTAACATATATATATATATATATATATAG